ATTATTTGGCAGCAATTTATTTTATGTGAAAACTTTGTCAAGCTGCCTCCGAAGATTTTTATGACACAGCCGCAGGTTGAAGGTTGCCAGAGGAGTCGCAGATCGCAGATCGCTTCAACGTTTTCCAGCGGCGTCAGCTTGAATTTTATTGCCATCTCGCATATTTTAATGAGGCATTAAAGCCCTGACTCTCTGATTTCCCCCACACACACACGCACACTCGTAATTTATGAGAAACTAAATATTTACAAGGGGTTGGTGGGTGGATGGATGGTTCTGTTTGACTTGTCCTGGCCCAGTGTTTGGCCTGCGTTTGCCGTTTTTAACACTCGATTACTTTAAATGCTGCGCCCCACCCACTGTGGCCCCGTCTCGTCAGGCATTCGACTTTGCAGTCAATATTTGTTTTTGGCTTAAACAGGGAGCGTGCACTGAACCCCGCACATCAGCATATTCTTCTGCCAGCTTCCGCATGCCAGCAACTTGTGTAATGAGTATTTGGTTACACAAATCTTAGGGCCAGCTAGGGCCCAGTACCCGCTTATTGAATGAACGCTTAAATTACTAAGCAAATGACTCATTCATCAACTGCAGCACTCGGATTAGCATTGGCTGTCAGCAGTCACCATACAGTGGAGTGGAGTGGAGTGGAGTGGACAGCTGAGTGTAGTCCTGCTATCCTGCCAGCGAAGAGATTTCATTAAAAATGATTTAAAGGATGAGCCACTGGACATGGGCAGGCTATGGCTCATGGCTGATGGCTGATGAAAGCGCATAAATTAAAAACATTTGCCAACCGTCCGGCCATGATTTTCACAATGATGCAGCTCTCTCTCTCTCTCTGTCCTCCCAGCTACCCATTCAGTTTGCTGTGGAGGCGCCACGGACACATTCTGTTCGATTAACTCGTTGACAGGCGGATAATTTCATTGCGGGACTGCTGGCCACAGCGTGTCGGGAATTAAAGGCGACATGTTTGCCACCTCACCCCAAACGAAGCCAATTATGAAGGAGCAAGGCCGTAAACGGATTAAAGGTGAACGAACACACATTGATATTTTGTTCGTCAAATTTACCCGAGAGATCAATACGAATTATTCAGTGCTGCCGCAGGTATAATGCCCAATGAAAGTGTTTACAGTAGCAGCCGCTTAATCATGGTAGCAACAGTATGTTAGCCCTCCAGCTATAACAGACTGTTAGCACTACCGCTACAACAGACTGTTAACGTCCAGCTACACAGACTGTTGCCTCTCGCATTGACTTTGGCCCTCCAGCTATAACAGACTGTTGGCACTACCGCTACAACAGACTGTTAACGTCCAGCGACTACGATCCACACGGCTCTCACGCAGCGGTGGCTTGTAAGCCACAGATCACTTTTTCAACCCCCGTTTCAACTGGCCCACACACCGCTACTCCTTCGCTACGCAAACACAATAACCTTTCTCTTTTCATTAGCAAATTTGTGATCAGAGCCCCAACAAATCTCTGCATCCGTCTGCACTCTTCTTGCTCTCCCATTCGCAGTGAAATTTATGTTTGTATGCATTATGCGTTTAATGTCGCTTGATTTACATTTCATAGTTTGTGCAGCGGCGCAAATTGAATTTCCCGTGCTATGTCTTGAAAATTACACAAAAACAAAAAACAAGTAGCGAAGGAAACAAACAAAAAAAATACGCAGAGGGAGAAGCTTAGCAAAATGAACGTGCCCCAGGAGTAGCAGACGCAATATGCAAATAATCTGCAAATTTATAGGCTTTTCCTTAGCTGGCAGAGGCTGCAGCTGCGCCACGGATTTAGGTCCTTGAGTGGCATGCGGCAGGCGGCAGGCGGCGTGGGGCATGGGGCTAAGCCAGGCTATTATCTTTTATGAACTGAACTTCCTTTTGATTGGTTTAATGGAGTACCCAACCACCCACGGAAGGCCTCAGGAGCGGGGCCAAATGATTGATGCATGTGCAGAGATGTCACGGGGAAACATGAGACCAAAATCTTCACATTTCTTGTCAGGCAGCAGAAAAAAATATATGTTTATATGTTTGCAAAACCAAAATGAGTAAAAATCCAACAATCTGCCACACTGTGGGTGCGTTTTTTTTTGTTCATTTGGAAAATCCATTAAAACACTTGAGCCTGGCTGAGGCGCGGTGCGAGACGGGACGCAACGCGACGCGACGCGACGCTCTCCAAACAACAGCCACAACCAGAATGCATTTCCGTTAATAGTGAAGGCGGCTTTGAAGGCTGGCGAACAACACTTAGACGCAGCACTTTTTGTTACCCTTAAACCCTTGGAGCGAGCTCTCCATCCCCTGTGCCATCCCGCTGTGGAGTACATAAAATGTTATTGATATTGCAATTTTTAGCATTTTGTAATTGAGGCAAAAGTTGCCCGCTCAAGGCTGAGCCAGGGTATACGTACTTATCGCAGCACCATCAATTGTCTGCCTCCAACCAAGATGCGATCCAGCATCGATGCTCGAGCAGCATCTACCCACGGTGGCAGACAGCCCTTTCTGGTGGGGGGCAGATAACTGTCTAAATGACACTTGAGCATGTGTTTAAACATGCCAAGCACTTGACTCACTCAAACTATGCAACAAGCAGACGGGCAGACGGGCAGAGGGGCAGGGAAGCAGCAGGAGCACACGGGTTGACAGTTGCCAGCTTCAAAGTTCAGGGGAAACGAAGGGCGGCCTTGCCTCGTGCTGTCGATGCGCTGATAAGTCTGTCCCTTCCTCCAGCTCCATCCTGCATGCCCCCCTGTGTGTGTGTGTGTGTGTGTTCCTCTGTTCTCACCCTCCGAACGCATCTTGTCTCCTTTCGTCTCGTCTCGAGCATGAAGGCGAGTGCCAATGTTGTTGGCTGAACTCATAATTGGAATTAATTATGCATTCGCACTTTGTGGCCAACTTTTCAAGTGGCTGGAGTGGTTACCAGGAGCCAGTTAGCTAAGGGTCTCTGTGTGTGTGTGGGTGTTGCTGCTGCTGCTGCTGCTGCTGTTGCTCCTCTAATTGTCCAAGTGAACAAGCAAGGCCGAGGCGTTGGATGCAACGCCTGGGAGCCGAGAACCCAAGAAACTGAGGCGACCCTTCAAGCAGCGCCTCTTTGGCTGGCTGCTGGCAAGGGTTAAGTGCAAATTGCAGTTATCGTAAGTATTTCCCATACACCATGCACACACACACACACACACACACACACACACACATCTACCGAGAACAAATGCTCGCTGATTCTATTTAAGCTGTTAAGAAGTTATTTTGGAAGTTGCTGCTAAGAAGTATTTGTCGCTGGAGTTGCAGCGTGTAAATCTGCGATCTTTCCTTATTTCAACTAATTTTAAATGCAGCCAAACCAAGAGACTATTCAACACAGATAAGAACATGAACACCTCGCATTCTCTCCACATTTCTCTAAACTGTCTCTACATTCGTTGCAGGGATTTGCTTCTTTAAACAATTAAAAGCCATTTATGGCTTACTCTTGTAGCTAAGCCCTCTTTTGTTGCTCATTTTATTCACATTTTTGCTTAGATTTTTATTCACACTTCGAGTCGAACGGAGCCCATCCCCCCTTTCCCATTCAGCGGCTCTCGAGTGTAGCCGCCATTCTAATATAACTTGGCCCATTTATCTTGCTCGTTTTTTTTCTTTGTGCTGGGCAGAAGCAGTCCAATTTGTTGCTCCTTTATGGCTTCATAAAGGCAGGATATACCATGTCCATGCCCACACCTGAGCTCAATAATTACCGTGCACGCTTTGTCAGAGAGGCAGCCCATTCTCTATGGCTGGTGGCCCATTGTCTTGTGGGTTTGCATTGCGGCTTGAGGTTCCCCTGCTGCTCTCCGAACATATTAAAGCATAAAGGAGAGTCAAGATGTTGGGAATTAATTAAAATTTGACAGCTAATAAAATGCAATCACTGCGAGTGTATGGCGACTCGTGATGGCCATCGCTATGTGCTCGTTACAATGGCCATTTAAGTTGCGAATAGACAGACAATTGCACGCTTCATTTCGCCTGTTCGCCTTGTTTTGACATGCCGCAAAGGGAGACGGGGAAATCCAGTCGGATCATGACAAAAGACTGTCGCAAATCGTGAATGAATCGTCGTGAATCGCGACCAGCCCAGCGAGTGAACTGCCAAAAGCTGGACAATGCCAGGCAGCTGGAAATGGCCTGACTTGATGGGGCTTTTGGGGGCCTTGGGTCCGGCCTGGTCGCGTGTCATGAGCAAACAAGATAATGTTACAGCAGTCATCGCAAATTGAACAGAACAAGAGTCCTGCTGCGGAGGAGGAGGACGAGTGGCTTCACCATCTTGTAGATTTGTACAAAAAAGAAAAAAAGAAAATAAGAAATGCAAATGAAAACGTCTCAACTTACGGAAAGGCAGCCAAGAGAGCGGCAGAAGGAGAAACTGCCTTAATGAAAATTCAGCAACAGGCCACAGAAGGCTGCCTCTCTGTCTCTGTCTTTTGCAAACAAGAAAATGATTGATCGGCGGCATCAATTTCCGGAAAATGCTTTTGCCCAACAGTCGACAGTTTGCCGATGGCTTTAATTATGCCTGAAGGCTTACGTCAGGCTGTACGCTGGCTATAAATACACACAAAAAATAGTGTTGCATATGCAGCATGCAGTTGCTTTGAAGGTTTTCATTTATGGAAATGTCTGAAACATGTTTCGCCTGTGCAAATAGCAGGCAAGTCGCTGTGTGCGAGTTGGCAATAAAATTCCATTACAGCAGCCGTGGCCCCGACTTAAAAACTTGGCCCAAAAAAAAAGAAAAAACGGTTGCATGCAACCGAAGTAACCGAAGGAGGCAAAAGGGAAGTGCAAGTGTATTAAAAGCCAGCAACCATTTGGCCGCTACGTGAGTGCATTGTGTGTGTGTGTGTGGCAGAGTCCTTGCATATTTTATGTTACTTGCCGCAGCATTTAACACAAACACACACACACACACACCCAAGCGAGGCAAACTCATTACTCGAATTTATTTAGCACTTAAACAAAATGTTTCGCTCGCCTCAGCCGGCTGATCAGCGTATCTTGTGCTCTTCCTGAGGATCCCGCAGGGCGAGCAACACATGAGCACTTCCCGCTGCTGCTCGTTGGGTGGCTGCCGCCGGTTGTTGGCTTCAGCTGCCGCTTGAATGCGCCGCAGTTGCTGCAACGGCGCTGGGCAGATGGGCAGCTGTGGGCAGGGCTGGCACTTGTCGTGTATATAGCCGCAGTGGATGCAAATATCCGCCACGGTGCTGAGCATCAATTCGTTCTTGGCGCACGCCTCAATGGAGCCCTGGGACAGGGAGAGGGCACTGGCCCGTGGCGTGGGTGAGGGCAGTTCGACCTTGACACCGCATCGCGGGCACTTCCCGTAGACATGCGGCCAGGAGTCCACCAAGGTCTCTCCGGAGCACGCGGAATCACACTCGCAGTCATCCGACTCGTCGTGGAGGTTCTTCACGCGGCATGTCTGACGCGGCGCATAGAACAATCGTTCGGCGCTACGCAGGTTTTTCTTCTTAATGAGACTCCTTCCCTGGCCCACACTCTGCTTGGCCTCCGTGATGCTTCTCTGCTTCTCGAGGGCCAGCAGCAACGGGCTCTTGGCCAACGACTTAAAGTGTTGCGTGTACGTGTCCAACATTTTGCGAATGCTCTTCATGGAGTAGCGCTTTTCGACGTTCTGCAGGTTCTGCTCCTCTTTCGGATCGATTTCTAACTGGGACATGCTCGACGTTGAGGGGAAGCGAGCGGAGGTGCCCGAGAAGAGCTTTCTGCGCCGCTCCTCGCGCAGATTGCGTTCCATTTTCAACTCCTCGTCGAGTAGTTTCTTCAGCTGAGCGTGGTTCACTAGCCCAGAGGCCTTGGCCATTTGGTAGAGTCCGTGCTTTGAATCAGCGGCGGAGATGCCCTTGAATTGACTGTCTCCGTCATCCATGCGCCTAGTCGTATGCTCACTGAGCCACCCAATGTTCTCGGCTATTTCGGAGGGCACATTGATGCTGCTGATCCCGTACTTGCATGAGGCCATGGACTTTCCCTCCGCTGTCGGATTGTTCCCATACGCGTTGACAATGGCCCGCAGGTAATCGAGATACTTCTTGGACAGAAGCTCCACAATATCAGACAGCTGGATGTCCGTGGCCAGCAGCTCGGAGTGCAGACTCGCTAGGGTGTTCCACATATTGTGCTTGCCCACGACTGACATTAGAGCTTGGACATCTATCACCCTATCCAGGACACTGTTTCTCTCGATAACGTCCTTCAGCAGGTGCTGCAATCCCCTGAACTTTGGGTCCGAATTCAAGTCACTCAAGTGGAAGCTGTACCTGAGCTTATCCCCGCTATCCTCATCTGAAAATCGTGGACCCGTAACTGCTGAACCGGGCTCTTCGGCTCTCTGCAGTCTCATTTTGCCCGGCATAAACTGTTCGACTGGCTGCGTATCCTTGGCGACACTGCTCTTCTTTCGCTTTCCCGTAATGGACCTTAAGGACTGCCCTGGCAGGCCCGAGGATTTCCGAGAGACTCTCTGCTTCTTGGGCGCATTTGCCAATGCTTTTTGTTCCACATTCAAGGAATTGTTCTCCCTCCTGAGCATCTCAAATGTATCTAGCATAGACATTTCGCTATTTGTGGGCTCGAAATTCTTTGAATTTCTCTTTTCAATTTCATAATCTCGCTCGGCCTCTTTGTTGTCCTGATCCTGTATACTTTCAACTGTTTCCTCACCTCCTTTCTCATTTGTTTCGGATGTGAGGTTGTCCTGCACCTCCAGTCTAAAGAAACTCATCGTTGGCGGATTATCGGCAACCTGTCGCTTCAGTTTGGTTTTTTTCGTAGCTTTCAAATTGGGTTCTATGTCAGGTAGTTGTTCCGTTTTCTGTGGCAAGCCACGGCTCTCTTTGCGGCTTCTTTTGGGCCCTTTTGGCTTTTGTTTTGGGTTTTCTTGTGCCTTAACTCCATTGTCCCTTGTGCCATCTGCAAGTACACCAATTGTGGTTTAGCTTATGTCAGATTCGAATGTTTTAATGATAGCTTCTTACGATTTTTGGCTGCTGACTTTCTTGCCACTACTTTGGATTTCAGGCTGACATCCTCGGGGACCGCATCCAGAGTTAGTAATTTCTTGCGATTCATTCGGGCGAGAGTCCTCGATGGACTGCGCCTTTTTCTTTGGACTCTCTTTTTGGACTTTGACGGTTGTCCTGCCCTAATGGCCATCTGTTCCGCATACAGCTCCTCCAGCTCATCGATTGTTGGCTTTTGGATGCGCTTCAATCCCTTCTTCTGTTTCTTCTTCAACCTCTTTGGCTTGCATGCTCCGCGCAGCTCATTGAAATGAATATCAACGAATTCGGTCTCGGGCTCAGAGTGTTTTTTCTTCTTGATCTTCGTTGGCTTGTCAGGCATCTCTGGCACGGAAGGCTTACGGAACTCGGTTGTCAATGGGTGTATTGGAGAACGTTTCTTGCGCAGCACTTCAGTATCCCAAAAATCGGAAAACCCCTCAAGGAGGCGACCACCTGGCTTCTTTCGATTGCCGTGCAGCTGTGACAGATAGCGCCTAACCTCCTCGGCCTCCTCTTCCCAGAGGTGCGCCTGGCCCCCTATGCTCGGATGGAGATGCGAAGCCCGCTTGAGGCTCTTCCTCAGCTTCAGGAAACACCTGCCCAGCAGTCGCTGCGGTGTGCGATGCCTGCCCAGCTGTTTGCGCAGCAGCCGCAGCCGACAATCCAACTGGCCTTCCAGCTGTTGCTGCTGCCCAATCAGCCGGCGCTGCGACAACAGCGACTTGGACCAACTGTTCAGCCATTTCTTGTACATGGCCAGCATTCTGGCCACCTCATGCCGTGCCTGATCCCTCTGCACCTGCGCCATGTCCCTCTGCCGGGCCGCTATCGCCTTGCGCACCTGCTGCAGCAGCTCCTCCCGTATCCTCCGCATCCTGCGCAGCCGGCGATGGGCCAGGCGCCTGTAGCTCCTCAGATGCCTGCCCTTGCGCCTCATCTGCTTCTTCAGCAGCACCATCTTGGTGCAACGATGCAGCAGTGGCAACATCATTGCGTGACGTAAAATAAAGCAACTGTTGATTTCGCAAATGTAAATTTACATAAATTCCAAATGCCTGAAAATAAACTAAGGCAAGGCCCAAGGGGAAACTCAAAGGTAGCTGTGGGAATAATTAATTCCTTTGCATTTAACATTTTCAATTTAATCCAATAATAAAAAAACAACATAAAAAATATAAGTAAACATCAAGGAAACACGCTTAGAGCCCGACGAAGGCCCTGGCTTGCTGCTCGCCGGCCTCCTTGAACAGCTCTGCGGTCTTCACCAGCTTAATGAAGCGGGGCGAGAGCTCGCTGGAACTTTGCGACTGCAGGACGTTGTCCATGTTGGTATGGCGCAGCACCTGCTGCAGCTTGGCTTCCCGCTGCGTGCGCTCCACGGAGTCTGCCATCTTGCGTAGGTACATGAGATCCGTGAGAAGTTCGTCGCGGATATTGGCCGCCGCACGCTGCTCCTCCAGGGGCAGCTGCTCGTACTGGCGCAGCAGCTTCTTGACGATGCGGGAACGGGAATCAATCTGGCCGACATCCAGCAAACGCACATCCTCGCTGAAGTCATGGGCGAGGCCGCTCACCGAATTCTCGCGCTTCTCGCGGCTCTTCTTCTGCTCCTCCATGGTCTTCAGGATGAGGTCGTAGAACTCGCTGAGGTCCGGGCGCAGAGGGATGCAGGCGCGCAGCCGCACTTGCTTGTCGATGATGTCGCTAATGGCCTCCATGGTGTCCCGCACCATGCTCTCTGTGTGCTGCAGATACTGATCGTTCTTGTCATTGCGGATCTGATAGAAGTTCTTGGGCTTCTTCTGGCAGCCCTTGCGATTGCGCTCCAGCACGGCCAGCAGGCGATCCATGCCCGGATCATTGCTGACTGCCTCGAGGACGGCCGACACAATGGCCTCCGACGTCTTGCCGCTTATGAGCTTCTCCAAGCTGTCATCGCAGTGCTCGGTATTTGAGCTGAAGCGAAAGGATAAATGTTTAGTTTCGTTCTCCGTTTACTGGACTTCCTACTGGCACTTACCATTTTGACGATTTCCCCTTGGCGTGCAGCTTGCCCCATCTGTTGTACCGTCTGTGACTGGATTTCTCCATATCATTATCCTCAGTAGCTGCTTCGCGGGCATATCGATCCTCATGCTCCATCAAATAATCGTTATTCTCATGCTCTGCCGCATGCGGCCAATCCAGCATCAGGTCATCGTTGTCCATCTGATCGAAGGCTGGTCGCATGTTGATCGATCCGTTGCCATAGAACTGTTTTGTCTTTGGATCCCCGCACACGTTCGCATTGATGGACACATTCAGCTTCATGGCATCGGGACTGCTGCAGAAATCGTCGGCTGGCACAGCAGGTCCACTTCCAGGCTCAGGTCCAGGTCCTGGTACAGTTCCAGTTCCAGTTCCAGTATCAGGTCCAGAAGTTGTACTCTCCTGATCTGCCGCCCCCTCTGAGGTTGTTCCATTTCCAGCTGCATCTGTGGTGTTCGCCATGGATGGAATCTCCGTTGAGCTTTCACCGATTCCCGTTGTAGTCGACTCCGTGGAAGCGTCGGGAAGCCTCGTGGTAATGGAAACGCAATTGGGATCTACAGTTATGGGCAGAGTGGACTGTGTCGGCGCTGGCCCTGGCGTAATGCACGGGTCGACTGTGCTCAATACGTTGCTCTTTACCTGCTTGTTGAAGAAGGGACCAAAGTAACGGTGAACTGCAGATTGCTTCATCAGTGGCGGTGCCTGTACTTTCATTTGCGGCTGTTTCAGTTGGGTATGTAGCGGTGTGTGTTGCTTTTGTGGTAGATATTGCTGTTTCGGCGCATATTGCTTTTGTGGAAGGTATTGGTTTTGCTTTTGTGGAGGATATTGCTTTTGAGGAAGATATGTACGCTGACTCGGTGACGGCTGCTGTTGTTGGCGCTGCTGCTGCTGCTGCTGTTGTTGTTGCTGCTGCAGAGCTGGACGGTACTGTTGCTGCTGAGACGGACGATTCTTCTGAATTTTCTGCAGTTCATTGAAAAAGTTTGTCAAATTGAAGGTGGCCTTGAAGGAGGGCTGATTATGGATCTGCAGCTGCTGTGGCGGTTGCTGTTGTGGTTGCTGCTGTTGTGGCTGCTGTTGCTGCTGCTGCTGTTGCATTTGCAGAGGCTGTTGCGTGACCTGATAACCTCCTCCGTTAGCACGCTGATTCATCATTGGCACCTGAATGTTGGACCCATCATAGAGACTGGCCTCGTCCTCATCGTAGTGAGGCTCTTCTTCAAGTTCCTCCTCCTCCTCCTTGGCATCGGGCATAAGCAGACCGTTTCCCAGGTCACCGAAACGCAAGCGATTCCCATTGTGATCCTCAAAGTCATCCAGCAGTGGAGCAGCCATGCGCTTGGCTCTCTTGTGGCATTCCGTGGGCTGTTGCTCGTCGCCCGTTGAGCGTCTGGAGCGGCGCCTCTTCCTGTAAGGCATGCGCTCATGACGTCGACGGCGATGGATGTGTCGCTTCTTGCGCTCTGTTTGAGCTCTTTGATGCGACATCTCTCTGGCCAGAAGCTTCACCACCGCATCGGCATCGACCAAACGGGGAGCAGCTGTGCCTGCCGCTGCTGCTGCTTCCACGCTCTCTGTCTTGGGTACAACCTCCGCTGGCATGGATGTGACAGACTCCTCCACACTCAGCTTGACGTTCTCCTGCAGCCCGGAATCTTCCATACTGGCTGCTGGCTGGGCCTTCTCCTGCACCTGCGGCTGTTCCAGTTCCAATTGTGGGACGGCAAGGCTGTTGGCATCCGCCTCTGCGCTGGGCTTGGCCTCAGGACTGTCCACCACAACAGCGGGGTCTTGTGCAACATCGGCCACCTCTGGTTTTGTCAAAGGGTCCGCCTCTAGAACGGAGGAATCTTTCATCATCGCAGATTCCGTGGGCTTCAGCTCAAAGTCCGTGTCCACTTTCACTGGCGCAGAGAGCTTCACCGCAGCTTCGACTTGCGCCTTGCCCGAATCAGCTGTTGTTCCCATGTCTTTGCCTTCGATTGCTTCCTTTTCCAGATTCGTTTTGACTTCAGGAATCACCCCATGCTGTGGCTCGGCGACTTCTAACTTGACCTTGTTGCCTGGCTCCTTCACAGCCATTTCCAGGCTCTGCTTCGGGGCGTGCTCTCGCTTGTAGCGTACCAGATCCCCAGTGGATCTGCGACTGGACCTGACCCTGACCATGTCGGGCATTTGCCGCTGGCTGAGAGCATGAAAGCGATCGTACGGGGGCAGATGATAGTCGTAGCTCTCTGGCAGATCCATCGTTTGATGGTCACCGGAAGAGGCAACCTCTGGGACCTGCATGACGTCGTTGCTCAGCGATGGACTAAAGCCATCGTTCTGCGGCCCCAGTTCTGCATCATCGCTAGAGTCGATCTCCCGATTCTGTTCCTGATCCATGTCCAAGTCCACATCTGGATCTAGATCCTGCCGCTGTTGCTCCCGTTGCATTTTAAGCTGTCGCCGCTTCATCACCTCTTCCACGTGTCGGGCATGCTGGCTCTCCATCAGCGCATTGCTCGGCAGCGAGGGTCCCATGCCCTTGAGCATGAGGCGGCTGCTCGTCTTCAGCTTGATCTCGTTCATGGGATTGAAGCCGAGATGGAAGCTGCGCTTCATCAGGTCGCTGCCCTTGGGGCGAGGCGGGCGCTGGGTGTTCTCGGAGGCCTCCTGCTCTATCTTGGAGAGCTTGTAGTTGGCCTCGTGCAGCAGATTGTTGGGCCGCACTTTGGGTGCATCGAGCTGCGATATCTTTTGCTCGTAGATCCCCTCGGGCACTGGGGCGTCCCCGAACTCCGGCTGTTCGTCGCTGACGTCTGTCTTCTTGTGGTACTCCTTCAGCTTGGGTGGATCCTTCTTGCTGGTCTGCTCATGCTCGTTGAGTATCTGCTGCGCATGCTTCAGCTTGATGTCCAGCGAGGAGAGGCCCCCGCCATCGAACAGGAAGGGCGCACTGGTGGCCTCGAGCTGCGGCATGACGAGATCTGCCTCAGGGTCCTTGTACTTTAGCTTCACCTTGCCAATTTCCGTGTCCTGCAGTTGCTTGTCGTACTTGCTCACATAGGTCTTGGCCTGGCTCTTCTGCTGCCGGACTGCCCGCGCCTTCTTCTGGCTCGCTGCCTGGAAGTCGCGATACCAGGCGTCGGCTGCCTCCGCCAAGCCGGGCTCCTCCGCAACCTCGTCGCTGGTGTGCACAAAACTCGCCAGCATATCGTCGATAGTGTGCCGCGGCGGCCGGTACAGGCTGTCCGCTCCGCCCAGATTCTGCATCTTGTCGCGCGCCTCTAGCACCGCCCGATTGAAGCTGCTCAACTGCTCGCTGCTGGGCTGCCCAGAGTCGGCAGCCTGCAGCATATTTGTGCCACTCAGCAACATTAGGGTCCACCAGAATTGTAGGAAAATCATCCTCGAGGCTGGTGTCGATTCGTCAGTCTCAGTTACAAAAAGTACAGAGAAAACTCAATTGGAAAGTTCTGTCTCCCAGCCAGCTTGATCAGAATTGATTTTCGGGTTTCTCAGTTTTTTGGAATCACTTGCCACTGGGTTGGGTTGGGGCTGGCAACAGGTGTCTGGCGTGGATGCACTGGCACTGCCAGCCATTGTCGCACAACTTTGACAACGTGGCGCGATAAGAGTGGCAATGTCACAGAGCCTGCTGCTTCTCTCTACTCGCCTCTGGCCCTCCTGTTGGGGCTTGCATTGTGTCAAGTTTTTCCACACGTACGACGGCTGCGCCGGCGGCTTCCGACATCTGTTCAACATGAAATGTTCTTTGTTGCAACAACACACACACACGAACACACGAACACACGCACACTTGAATGGATGTAAATGATTTTACCGCAGCAGCACCCCACTCCCCTCCCCACCCATCCCATCCCCTCACACCGCCACCACACAATCAGCTGCAGCATTGTTTCCTCTCCCATGTAAATCAGATTTTTGTTTTATACCAAAACTTTTGCAAGCGAAGGCGGGAAATGGAAATGAAATCGGAATGGGAATGGGAATGTGGATGGTAATGCGGATGGGTTGCGGGGGGAGGGGAGCTTTGAGCAGCGACAATAACATTTCCTATTTCATTTTACACCTCCCCCGCCCTGCCACTGTGTGTGTGGATGCTATCATATCGCTTACTACTGCCTGCCTGCCTGCCTGCCATATTGTCAATGCCAAAGTCGGGACAATGTGCGGCTCGAAATAATTGAAAATAATCAAACATTCGGTGGGAACAACTGCAGCAGCATCATCATCATCATCATCGTCATGAGCTCCATCCGCCACCAAACTAATGTAATTAGCTCGCACCAAAACGCGTTCGTCTCTGATTAAAAGTTTTGCGGCTTGGCTGGTGGTGCGCCACCGCTCGCTAATCCATTGAACAAAACTATGAATGAGCGAAAACTCAACCTTATTGTGTGATTTTTAGTGAAAAGTGTCCCAAAGGGGTTGTCGCTCCTTTCGCGGATGATTTTTGGGAGTTTGGAAACAAGAATTAATTAAAATATTCTCTGCTTTCAATCAATAATAAATATGTAAACACTAAATTGAAATACTGTTAAAATCTTCTAATCGCTGCCAAAGCAAACTCAGCTCACTCCTTTTGGGCTGGAAAATCTTTCATAATTCACGCGGACTCAGCTCTCAGTGTCCGTCTGTTGTTTTTCGATTATGGCATAGCATTGTCTTGGCTTAAAGTTTTTTTTTGTGGAGCTCCCACCGACCAGCAGCACTCTGGCTGTTGGGTGGAAAATATTACAGCGATTCCTACTTATGCCTCGATTCGTTTGCCTTGTCAGGCAGACTGCACAAAGGGTCGCCAGGGGAGGATGGGGTAGCCAGCGACATGACAAAGGAGAGCCGTGCAGAGGGAGAGATGTGGAGGCAGAAAAAAAGAACACCCAGCGCATCCTTGGACTCGTGCATCACAGGACATGACATGGCACGAGCCATTTCGTTTGTTTTTTCTATTCCCATTTTACAGCTGTCCCATGTCCAAACAAATTTCTTCTCGTTTTTTTTGTTTTTTCTTTTTATTTGTGTTTTTCCCCTCTCTCTCTCTCTCTCTCTCTCTGCGATCTCTGAGTAAAATATTATGTTACCCGGCATTACAAAGAAAGAGAGAAACTTTTTATGCCCGTCAAACATATGCATGCAGACTGTACGCGGGGTATATCTGACTAACATGAGCAGTCGTTTTAGCTGTCATAGCTGTTATTACAACGATTAGTACTATGGGGAAATAGTTATAAAAGATTTCACAATTTTATCTGGGCAGCCACCGTAATAGCATCACTGTTAAAACATCACTGTTAAAACCATATGGTGCCGCTCTTCATAACAGTTAGCGCTCTCTTTCGAAGTTCGCTCTCACGATCCACACGGCTCTCACTTGAAAGCCAGCAGGTAGCTACGAAGCAATTACAGTTACTTTCATTACTTCCACTCTCACACAATCAGTAAACTGTAATAAATACGAGTAGCGGGTATCTTTTAGTCGCAATAATTAAGTAAGACGCTCTTGGTTCCATTATTAATGCATTTTTGCCAGCGGCCAACACGCTGAAAGATGAGCGTGGTAGGGAAAGGACTTATTTAAATGCAATTTCTATAAACAAATTTGAGCTGCTTATGCATATGCAGCAAGCCGCACACAAGCAATTCATTAAGCGGCAGTCGCAAATAGAAAATTACTGACAAAATGCTGTCCGACAGTTTACGAGCCGCAGACGGCAGGGAGCAGATTGGAGTCATGGACCTGACGGGCACGCGGCAGGAGGCAGGAGGCAGACACGCCGAATGGCAGGAACTTATTTACAACTTTCAAACGCTTCATTTTATTGGTCTCGAAATGAACAAATGGCGCACAAGCCGCACCGAGATACATATAGAGAGACGGTTTTGGCTGGGATAAAAATTGTGCATAATTTATGAGCAGAGCAGCAACGGCAGCAAACGGCGGCAACACACGAACGAAGGACTTTGCAAAAACAACGCACGAGCACACGGCCAACTGATTTAAATGCAATTGCATTGAAGTATGTTGTCCTGCCTCTGCTCGTGGTCCTTGTAGAGACAGCAGCACGTGCTGCATCAACAGGAGCATCGATGGCCAGCCAGGCTCCTTGTCGTGTCCTGCTGCTTGGCCATTTCTTTTCTTTTGCCAAGGTGTTGAGATGAGCAGACGTGAAGCTGGAAGCCAGGGCCAGCCTGGTATTCCCTTGGCCACAACTGTCGTCTATTTGCACGGCCAAAGGAGACGACTCGAAAGGCAAACAACCAGCAAATTTAGTGTATTTTGTGCATTCCTAAAATTGTCAGAATTTATGTGACACGATGCCACGCCAATTGATCAGATTAAAAAAACATGAGAACCCACGAGGGAGAATGCTCCCCGCATATATGCAGAATGCAGGTGAGAGGCCATCGTAGATATTCAAATATATGGACCGAAGCGGGAAACATTTTGTTCTTTAATCCTCTGGTGACAAAATGCTTTAATTCAGAGCGTAACCAGTTCATAAGATACGATCACAAAGCATCTCAAATGTGCACCACAGATTAGCGTGCCAACTGCCCGCGGGAGAGGAGACAGAGGAGAGGAGGCCGAGCGAGAGGCTCAATGGCAAACATAGTGCATCAACGTCCTCTGGCCAATAAACAATATTGCGATAATTTTGCGGCAGCAATGTAATTAAATTACTTAGCCAGTCCCCAGTCCCCAGTCCCCAGTCCCGGACAGAATACGCACCGCGGGGCAATGCATCAGACAAAATCCTTTCGACAGATCCGCGAAATGCCAAACGGCTGCCGGGCCCTGCCCTGGAGTTCGGTGTCGCTTGGCTCAGGGGCATATTTCCATAAAGCCACCGCAATAGCCGCTGTCAATATGCGGATTAACACATCAATTACCATGCATACGAGTATCTGGCCAGGGAGGGAGCTGCCGATGGATATTGATAGGAGTTTCAGCCTGTGTGTTGGGGCAGGGACTGGGCTACCAATTGCTCTGGCAGTGACAAAAATTTCATTTCGCCGAGTAATTTAATTATTTGCATAATTGCACAATCCAGCCGCAACTTGCTGGCGGAAAAAAAAACAATTTGAATTCCGTTCTGGCCGCCAGCAGTAGCAACCGTCATAATCGGCCCCCGAAACGTCCCGTTCTAGTCCCATTCCCATTTACAGTTATGACGTGAATGAAGTGAAAATGTAACCATTTCCAGGCTCAACTCGTCCCGCTCGTAGCCGGACACTGGATAACTAAATTAATTCGATAATTGACTTCAATTCTCTTTGCCTGCGCGGCAAACTGTTGATGCTGCTGCCTCATGGCCGTGGCCTTCTCCTCTCCTCTACTCTCCCCTCCGCTATCGAATGCCTTCTGGCTCTTTCTTTTTTATGGGCGGCGCACAGAGAACACATAAAAACGTCTGTTGCGTGTTGCATATGGAAAATTGCCAAAAGTTGCGAGAGCGAGCGAGTGAAGAAGTCGCAGAAGGAAATGTTGCAAAGTAGTAAAGGCTAGGCTAATGGCAATAGCATGACGACCCCTCAACAGGAAAAAAAAGAACACAAGAAAAGCACCAGAGGAAGGACAAGAAAGCATGTCCAAGAGGCAGCCAACAAAGTTGTTTTTTCTTTCTTTATTTCCTTATAGTTGTGCAAGTGCATGTGATTGCTTTATGAGCCACAGATGAAGTGGCCGGCACGTCCGGGCTGTCATTTAGTTAATTATAAGCAATTAGCAGCGAATGTTGCCAGCCAGAAATTAAATAAAAGCCACCCGAAATGCATCCATTGCATATATTTGTTGCCTCCAACAACGAGTCACGAGCGAAAGATTGTACAAAATGGCAGAACAATTGCCATTACAAGTCAATATAGAGACCGTCTGCCAGTGCTTGAGAGGACAGCCATTCACTGACGATTCATTATGTTGTGGCCTTAGCCAACGTTTGTCAGAAGTAGTACGGAAATATGGTACCGCCACATTAAAGTTGCATTGGAAGTTTAGAATCCCGCAGCAGAGTGCACAACTTTCCAGCTTGTTACACATTAATCCGCTGCATGCCCCATGAGTGGAGTGGCTGCGTGGCAGGTGTGTCCTGATCCTGACTATTTATCAATTTATTACGCGGCAAAAGTTCCTTTTGTGGCTGCTGTCTCTGACAGCGCTCAATGCTCACTGGGAATTCGCTGGTCGATGCGTGCGAGCCGCTGAATTAGCCAGGCCCACAGACACGTATGGCTTGCCAGGAAACGGATGCGGACTCGGCTGTTTGCCTCAGGTGGCTGGGCTGGGCCTTGTTAACGGATTTATGCAGCGATAATAAAAGTTGCACGCTGCAAATTGATTTATGTGCAAGTGCGGGAGGGCCAACAATTGCCGAGCCCGGCCCTGATGGGGGGCCAAGGAAAACTTTTAATTTTCCAAATGTATTCGCCGACAGAGAACTTGATGTCTTCGATGGGCCACGCACATAAAGAACGTAGCCAACTAGACGCAGAGCCGGGAGCCGGGAGCCGGGAGCCGGAGCCGGATCCGGAGAGACAGAGTCCCAGAGTGAGCCGTGGTGCAATTTAGGGGCAACGGAGCCAACGTAAAAACTGGAAAATTATGACCAAAATGAGAATTTAATCGAAGTACGTGAGCGGAAAAATGAAAATTTGACTGCAACTTGGGAGAGTGCGCGCCGCGTACTCGTCTGACTGGCCGAGACCGAGAGGCAGAGGCCGAAAGACTCCTGCAAAACAGTCGGCAGGCAGCAGGCAACAGGCAACAGGCAACAGCATAAAATGCCAAGTGCAAGCTCATGCAATTTTTATCATGGCCACAAATGTTGCTCCAACTCCAGCTTTAGCTACTGCTCCTTCGTGCAGCAGCACATCCTGGCATCATCATCAACACTGTCTTCATCTGCTTATGCGTTACCTTGAGGCCACACGCAGACTTCTGACTCCCGACTCCTGACTCCCACTCCCACTGCAGCCCGTTTCTGCACAAATTAATGCCGCCCGACACTGACTCTTGCTTTCTTTGCAACTCCAGCATTTACCTCTGCTACTACCCAGACAGACAGGCAGACAGACAGACAGACAATTCTCAAATGAGTCAACAGCAATAAAATTGTTTATTTTATTGCCAGTCTACACCAGCGTGGGTTCCGAGATCAGACAAGGGACAGCAGGCTTAATGTCTCTCGATCGTGATAAATATGGGAGCAGGCAAAGGATAAACCTTCCAAGTTTAGCATTGAATAAAACTGAAACTGCGAAAGCTGAGCATCGCTGAGTAACGGTTACCATCAGCTGGCTCTCTCTTCTGCGTAGGTCTGGCAACGCCAGAAGCTAGAGAGCAGCTTGGCTGGCAAATTGAAAGCTCCGCTTCGAGCGACTCTCAGTGCCAGGCGCAGCCGTGACGCTGCTGACGATCTGCCGGTGGTTCGGGTCACAGGCTGACGTATAAAACCAAATGCCGAACCTGCGATGCAACCAGTTGCGTGCCACAAGTCGCCAGGTGAACAAGTGAGAAAGAAACAGCAAAAGAGAGCGATCGAGAGTGTGAGATAAAGAGAGAGCTACATATATCCCAGAGACTATTCAGTTCCGTTGTTGTTGAGTTAAGCGTTAAGCCAGTGTACAATGTGCGGACAGGGCCGACTATTGAGAGCGATGGAGGTGGCCAGCGTGGTGCTGGTGCTGCTGGGACTGCTGCTGGCCGGTGCGGGAGTCAGCGAGGGGCGCCCCATGGACCTGTACGATGATGTGAGCGACTTCTTCGATGCCATTTCCTTGGACGATGTCGCCAACACGGGCCGCAACACGCATCCGGAGCAGTTCTGCCTAATGCCGGCCCGCAAGGGCGTCTGTCGTGCCCTCATACCGCGCTGGCGCTACGATCCTGAGCAGAAAAAGTGCGTGGAGTTCAAGTTCGGTGGCTGCGATGGCAACGAGAACAATTTCTCCAGCTACAAGGACTGCATGTCCACCTGCGAGGGCATGTAGTGATCACCAGGATCTGGAGCTACTGCTGATCGGCCGTTTCTGGCCGATGTGTTGCCAAAGGCGACTGCTTTTCTTTCGAGCTCTGCAAAGTAGCGAACCAAAGGCAGCATTTACTTTAACCCACACACACACACACACACCCATCATAATCTAATCGATCAACTCTTCTCTACTATGTAATATTTATATAATTAGTTTCTGTCATTGATCCATTTATTTTGTACTTGCGGCTAGGCGGTGTACAACACCACCGATCCGATCCACCTAGAGCTTAAGTTATTGTGATAAAACAAATCAAATTGATTCATCATGAAATAAAGAAGTTTTTATACAAAACTGAATATGAAAAAAGGTTTCCTTTATCATTTATTTTGTAATGCAAAGAACTGAAAAAGATAGAGCTCTGGATGTGCAACTGTGAGAGAATATGGGGTGCCAAAATGTGAATAAAAATCCATCAAATAACTACCATTCGTTGCCTTTTTAGCTCGAATTTTCTCTATTTTTGTATATATATTTAATTTAATATTCTTCCGGCTATCAAAATTCAAATCTGTCAAATGAAGTGCAGACTGTTAGACTTTTCTAGACTCTTCTAGAAATTGTTTAAACCAAGTTAAAGATAGAAAACCAGTTCATTGAATACTTATTTATGCCTTCACAGCCAAACATAAACAGATGCGAATTCCGTGTCTGCGGCCTCACATTTTTTGCAACTGAGAGGCGACCACTTTGCCGGGGGGCAAAACTCAGTCAATGCGGCTCCACTTTCATAGATTTCACTTGGAAATGGCCCAAGTCAAGTCTCTCCTCAGTCTCTCAATGCAAAACTGGGCCCCCCATTCATGCGGCTGGCCAGCACTCAAGCGATCAATTGATCGCTCGATCGTTCGACAACAACAAACGAACAAACATGATCAAATAGCTGCAAAGGTCACATGGAGAGACAGATGACTAGACCACGTCAATGGGTTCCCAGTTGGGTCTAGGTAAACCACTACGATCTGCGTCAGCGGCAAAAATACTCACAGATACGGCCAAGCCAGCGCCGAAACAAGCAAACATAAACAATTGAAAGGTGCGAATTTATGTTAAGCCGATTGCCAATAAACCAAAGAGAAAAAAAGAGGAGAAATAACTCAAAATCGAATTCAACAAATGTGCATAATTATTGATACAAAATCGCTGAAGCAAGACCTAAGCGAGGGCAAATGCAGGGCTCTGGAGCTCTGGAGCTGGGGCTTGGGCAAATTTCCAAGATATTCGCACGTACAAACACGTACACACATTGTACTATTTGTTTATAGGTTTATTTTGTTATAAACAACCGATTGGATCAATGACCCAAAGCCGCTCGCGCAGCAAAACAAAACGCGAAAATGCGGGCTATACTGATCCAAAAATGAATCGAACTGGGCGGCGTTGTTGCAACATGCAATCGCAACCGGCGGCTGGACCGTCAGCTGTCACAGCTCTAACGATGTATTCAAAGCACCCTAGATACTAGGAGGGAAATTCCTTCTACTCATCCAATGCCTGAACCAGGATAATCAACCTAAAGTTGTGACTTATTTCCTGCTTAACTGCCATAAGAAAATGAGTGCCATAAGGCATGGGCCACAGCCATTTTACATCTGTTGAAATTTTCTCAGCAATTTGCGGTCTGGTCAACGTGCAAGTGAGCGGCGCATGCGCAATATTCGCTGGATGTTGGCCAAGCTTCTGGAAAATTCTGCGCTGCATGTTGGCCAACGCAGCGAACTCAATCGAATGGAGTGGAAATTCTTTGTATTGTGGAAACAAAGTAGCAGCAGAAATAGAAATAGATGCCAGGTTGGTCACTTCCAAATGGTTGGCAAGAGTCAATAACACTTTTTGGCCTGTGAGTAACAGAAATTGCATCAAAGGCAGCGGCAGGCAGCGGCAGGCAGCGTGGCAAATTTAATGGCAAAATGAGCGGCAAAGAAATTTGAACAATTTTCGTTATTTGTTGTAAGCTAGAAATTAATTAAAATGCACTAGGCACTGCAACACAGCGGCAACATGCCATGAAAACTCACGATAACACATTTTCCGCGTTTCTGCAGCGGCTACCACGCCAGGCAGCAGCAAACGTATTTTATTAGCCACACTACACACTACACACTACACCATCCAACATGGATGTTTACATTGGGTTTTGGTTTTTGCTATCTCTTTAATTTTTGCCTTCCTGCTGTTCGAACTTATTTATTTGAGGCACGTACGCTGGACACAAAAGTGCAACGGCAACCAAGTCGGCCGACCACAATGCAAATAAAAGTGCAGCAATTCAGTGAGCAGAATGATGGTTACCCTTCCACACTGAGAGGATCAGGAAAGATTTATTTTGATATATTTATAAGAGGAGCCATTTATTGCATTTATTGCTATACCGAAAGACAGGGGTAAACCGACTAAAGGACATGTCAGCTTTATCGCTATCATATAGGACATGCTCTTTGCCAGAGCATTACAATATTCTCTGCGAAACCCACCCACCAGCTGCATGCCTAACCTTTCGATGGGCTTGTGTCTATGTTGAAGCGGCGACATCAACAACGACAACGACAACGACAACGACAATATCCAAAGTCAACGAACTTTGACGTCGTGCAGGCAGTAAAAGACAGTTCTTTGTTTTTCTTGTTGTTGCGGTGCTGCTGCTGGGGGTGATGGGAAAAATACATAGTAATAAACAAGACGGGGTGCCCCATTGTAATTGTTGGCTGCTGCCGCTGCTGCTGCCGTGGATAGTGCAAATATGCATAATCAAGCGCAAACAGGCAAACGGTGGCATCGATACACCCATGAGTAATGAAATGCAGCAAAAAAGAAAAACACACCATATCAACACAGTGTCAGGAAAAGGGAGCTTCTCACATATTTGTAGGGTACACGCTGCGTATACACATTACCCAGTGGTATTAACATTTATGCAGAAGGCTGCCTATTAGGTTTACAATTTCTAAACTCTAAATCAAGATATTATTCTAACTCACTGTGCCACACACATTGCAGGAACAGCTATCTCTAGAGATAAGAAAATTTCGGTCACGCCATGAAGATTTGACACCCAAAAGTTATCTTATCCAAGCGATGATGGATGAGTGCAATGCAGAGAGACAACGCGGCGCGCGAGAATGATCAACTTTAGTTATTATATAATTTATCGACTGTTTCAGTTGCTAAATACAATAATATATATTATTATTATCCATAGACTAACATACGCAATGTAAATATATATTTATGTTTATGCATACTCTATATATTCATTTTCTTCCATATGTATATATATTTGCTTTGTTATTGAATTCGTTGCTGCCCGCTAAACTGCCATAGGTATGCTCTTCCGTTTGTTAGCGTAGCTAAATATTATCATGTGTTGTGTGGTTGAACAATTTCCGATTGGTTAGCCGGATAAACATACATAATGTTAGCGCTTCACTAGCTCTAGGTATTATCCTCCATTTATCGTCATCGTTCGAGATGTGTGTTTCGTTTTGCTTTTGCTTTTCGTTATTTTTCGATACAACAGTGTGAGCTTTTGGCTTGAATTAGTGCATTACAATTAGGCATACAAATGGAGGTGCGGGCCAGGCTCCGTCTTGGTAGATGGCATACACATAGATCAGATATGCAGGAGAAGCGAATACGAAGACGAAGACGGAGGCGAAGGCGAAGACGATGAGTGTGCGTATTAGCAGGCAATGTCCGTGGTGACGCTCTTTATGCTCTCCGAGCTGAAGTGCACGCATCCGTACTTGCAGACCAGCGTCCACACATATGGAATGAAGAACTCCTCGGGTGCATCCTCCTCAACGTACTTAAACTTAAGATCCGGAAACTTCTGCAAAAAAAAAGAAGCAACATAAAATCACTTGACACCCCTCACATCTCTCCCACTTACCCTTAGCCGATCGCTGGACCATTGGCTGGCACCCTTCGATATCACCTCGAGCACCTCGTTGACACCCAGCTCGCCGCGCTGCTCCTGCACGCGCTGCAACCGCGACGAAAAGAAGCCCACCACCTGAGAGAGCAAAAAGATAATTAATTTGCCATTTGATACGAGGATTACCAGCGAGGATGGCTAACCATGTCGATGTTCTGGACAACGTCCTGGAAGGCGTGATGACTGCGGAATCCCTCGAAGACACTGCGCTTGTACAGCAGCGTGTAGACCAGATTGGGACAGTACACAAGCTGATTTGTAAGGCAGGAGTTGAGGATTTCCAATACCATGCGCAGCACCTCCTCCAGCACGCTCAGGTCCTGGAGCATATCCTCGGCCGTGGTGGCGACATTGACGAACACAGCACTGTCGGCAGGCTCCTTCAGCTGGGCATCCAGCCGCGTGTGCTTGCGTGCCAGCGTCTCGAAGAGCGAGACCAGGCGTTGCGCCACATAGGGATGGAGGGCGCGGAAGTGTCCGGACATGTTGGCCAGCGCTGCCAGGCAATTGGTGTGCAAGTACTTGTCGCGCATCTTCAGCATGTTGTACTGTATGGTGCGGATGACGATCAGGATGAGGATGCCGCCCAGCGATATCTCCGATATGGTTCGCTCCGTATACCACGTGATATTCTTCAGCATCTGCAAAAGAACACGGAAATAGCACATGAAATGGGTTGGGTTGCTGGGTGGTTGCGTTGCTCAAACATACAATCGTGTGGACGTTCTTGTTGAAGCCCTCGTCTTCGCTTAGAATGAGGAGCACAATCAGCGACATGTAGATGTGATGGGAGTTGCTGTCGGGGGCATTGTACAGGGTCTGCAGAATGGGTATGACCAGCTGCTCGAGGTCCTGCTGCTGCATGACGAACCTGTAGAAGCGCTCGTTGCGATGGAGCAGCAGATAGAGCAGCAGCGTGGCCTGGTCAATGGTGACAATGCGGCACAATGTCTCGTAAACGGCAGAGAAGTCGATCTGGAAGGACACCGTTCCCTGCTTGGGCGAGTCTTTGGAGTCGGCGCAGCCGAAGAGACTGGCGCGATAGGCATTCTCCTGAGCAGTGCAGTGGTTTGTCAGTATGAGGATGAGCAGCAGGCTCTGGTTGGCCAGCGGATAGTGGGTGCGGAACTGCTGCGAGAGCTCGCCGCCCACAGCGTTGCTCGCCTTCAGCACATCCTGCTGCTTGCGGAACGTGAAGATGGAGAGCAGCGATTCAGCTATGCCGAAGACGAAGGAGCCCGCCGAGCTGGAGCCGAACATGGTGTGCGGCACCTCCACCATGCGCGCCACAAAGTGCAGCAGGGCAGACATCAGCACGTTGGCGTGCTGGCACTTGAAGACCGTGCGAAAGACGATCGACTTCTCCGTGGGCTGCTGGGCGAACAAATGCACCGACAGCAGCGTGATCAGCATGTTGACGGCCTCCAGGTGCAGGTGGTAGGTGAACTCCTTGACGGGAATCACTACAATTAGGTTCACCAAGGCATCAATAAAGGTCTCGAACTTGGCGCCGTCCACGAAGACAGGCGCTGAGGCGGCGGCAGCAGCAGCGGTAGCTGCCTGCTCAGTGGCCTCAATGGCAATGGTGGCACTCTCCGCCGGCGTCTGTTGCTGCAGCTCAACGGCCGCCTGCACAAGCTCGGCGCTGGGCAACGCCTCAAAATGTTGCAACAGCTGGAACTCGGATCCCGTCTCGTTGATGTACTTGACCAGGCTGCGAATGATGAAGAGGGCGTTGAAGGTCTGCCACACATGCATGTTGCTCTCCTGGTCGGACAGCGACAGCAGCTCGCTGGTCTTCTCCAGGAACACGGTGACCAAGGAGCCGAAATTGCCCGTCTTCAGATTGTTGCCAATGAACGACTGACACAGCGTCTCCAGCCGGCTGTCCAGGTTCAGCTGATCCTGGCTGAAAACACACACAAAAAGCATTAACCAGGCCACTTGATGACGTTGACACACTTCCACAGCCAGCACGCAGCCAGTACGCACCTGTTCTCCGGCAGCACAATGTTGTAGTTGAGCAATCCATTCCAGAAGGCCTCGTCATCGTGGGCGATGTGGTGTCGCCCAACGAACCGCTGCAGCCACTCGTTGGACCCCAGGTCCGCCGTCCGGCTGACGTTGATGCCCATTCTCCTCTGTCGTGCGTGCGACCTGTCCCGTCCCTGTCCCTGTCCCTGTCCCTGTCGCCACTAGCGACAAACAATCAATTTGTGTGCTCACTGCTCGGCGAGGCTATTACTGCATTTGAGTTAGCTGACCAACGGCTGCTTGGCCCTTTCCAGTTAGCAAAATATAATAACAATTGTCGATGTTCTTGGCACGGGCACGTCACCCATTTGTGGAGCGTAGTGTTTTTTTATGGTTTTTTTCATATGATTTTGACGTTGCGCCGGCTGCGCTTCGCAGCACTGTGCGTGAACGCGAGCGTTGCCCAGCACTGCTCGCCCGCACAGCTGACGTCACGGATGCCCAAAAGAGTGCCACTAAAAATCGCGTGGAAAATCCATTTGAACAACAAAACGAATAACTATAAAATGATTTGCGCTGTCGATGACTGCGCGAGCAACCTGAGAGGGAGCCGCCAGCGCTCGTTCAAGTTTCCCGGCGATGTCGAGCTGTGTCGCCAGTGGACACGCTTCTGCCGCCGCGCGGATGGAATCAATTACCAAGCGGAGCGCGTTTGCCTGGACCACTTTGAAATGGAGGATTTCGAGGAGGATCACACGCCCCTAAAACTAAGGCCAGAGGCTGTGCCCAGCCTGCATGCGCACCAAGACATCGATTTGGAAGTAGTTGAGGAACATTTGGAACTGCCAGCGGCAAAGGAGGAAAGTCTGTCCAAGGACCAGCCAGAGGAGATGGACAGCGACTATGACTTCGAGGAGCTGCCTGCGGAGGAGTGTCTGCAAGTGCAGGTGGTGGACGCCGACTCCTACCTGAAGGTCTTGGAGAAGGAAAAGTATAAACACCGCCCCACGGCACCCATTAGAGTCTATTCCATAAAAATATCCACTATTGCAGCACCGAACTAAAACGCGACAACTTCAAAATGAATCTGTCCATCCAGACCAGCGAGAGGGACATCGAGAGGCTGCAACGGCAGCTGGACAACTCTAGTGAGGGCTACAGACAACTCGTTGGCAACTTGGAGCGGATATTCTCCGTTTCCCAAATCGAAAAGATTCAGAACGACAGACGCATCGTGTGGCCCAGGACGGATCTAATCGAAGCGCATAGTCTGTATGCGACCAGCAGGAGTGCCTACAGCATGCTGCTAGGCAGGAACTACCCGCTGCCTTCTGTGCGAACAATGCAGTACTGGGAGACCCGCGAGCGGAATCCCACCAAAAGCAGCTCGAGGCAGAATGGACTGCAGACCATGCACCAAGAGTGCGAGTGCATTGATGCCACCAGCACGGATCACAATTACACCTAGCGCTCACCATCCAGCTCGACCTCTTCTGGTACTGTGGACACGACCAACTTGGATCACAATTACACAAAAGCCGAGTTGCCATAAACGCGATCGACTTTAATCCTGCCTGCAAAGCACTGGGGACTGCAGGCAAACACATTCTAAATTTTAAACACTTTTTTTTTTGGGTAGCTACATAAGTCTTGTTGAGGAAGCTTCAACGCTGTTCATGAGCAAGCGAATTTAATAGTCGCTAAGCAATTACATCCAATGTAAGGATATTTTAATGTTTTAGCAATGTTTAATGTTTGATCTTTTGTATGTTGTAAGATATTTTAACGTCAACTGACGAACGCATCTCCACTCTACCTATCATCCAATGAATGCTGTATTTGATTGTACATATATATCATAGGTTTAATGAGGTTTAAGTTATATGAATTCATGCTCAAGTTGCATATTAAATTTAATCGCTCCTGCAACACCCGAAGGTGAATCTATATTGGCCATCCATAGTTTTAGTTGTACAGGAAACATTATTAAACACAACTAAGGAAACTCATAACAAAACATTCCATAACTTTGAGTTTAATGCATTTATTAGAGTATGGATCTAAAACTAATTTGCTGATTGGATACTGTTGCACCTGAGGCGCACACAGCCTGCGATTTAGCGATTCACTGTCCAACGATGTCACTATTCGTGTGTATCCCCCGTTCATTCCTACTTAGTCGCTTCTCTAGTTTTAGTTGCTTCCGATTTGCATACAATTTGTAACTAAATATATATATAACTATACACATACATAATGTAAAAACTAAAGGGATAAATCAAAAGTTAAACGGAAATTCCCAAATTCTCTACTCTCCTCAATCGTACAATCCTTTTGCTTCCTTGCTTTGCTTTGCTTTCTTGCTTGCTGTGTGTTGCATTCATCATACACGATTATCACAAATTGTATTCCTTTTAGTTGGCGCTGCATGCGAGTGCGTAATCGCTGCGAGTCGGTGTGAACAGGGTGAAAATGTGTAATGGCTACAATCTTAGGTGCAGCATTTAAAAACAAAACTTGATACATAGTAAACGCCCTCGCCTGTGCCCATGCCTGCTTTCTGAGTGACTTAACTTAACAAATGTACAGTGTGAATGTGTGAATAATGATAATGGATAATAATAATGTGTAAAATATAATGGCAGAATGCATGATGACTGCAGGGCATGGGGGCAGAGCTCATCACTTCGCCGTAGCTTCTGATGTTAGCCCAGCATCGCTGCGGTGGCGCTTGCTACTCCACATTTACAGCTTGCGCAGAGCATTGTGCTTGTTGTGCTTCTTGGCCAGCAGCTGCTTCAGGCTGAACGAGGAGAGGGCGATGCCGAAGAGCGCCAGCATGGTGGCCGAGCGTGTCACCACACGGGTGGAACTGGATGAGTTTGTGGTGTAGGCATGGCTGCAGTTCGTCGAGGCCTGCGCAGATAGCGGCGGCGCCTGCAAGAGATTAGAAAAAGCAAAACAACACAATTAGAAATGCTATCTGCAAAGGCTCTCGAAATATTGTAGGCACGGCGAGTATTTTTAGAAGGCCAAACAAACAATTGTCGCTATATAATTGGCACAGTGCCCAGCCCAGCGCAGACCAGCCGAGTGTCTGTCTGTTAACTACGCAGCAAAGAAAATGCGACCGGGCGGTTGTCAACCGGTTCAAGTGTCCCAAACGATTACCCCACACGTTCATTGAACTGATTAAAGGAGAGTGGCCTAAGGTCGATGTAATAGCTGATTAGATTGGGACGCCCGCTCGCCAGTCCCTGGATACCTGTTGATTGAGGTGCGGATGTCGTTGAGAAATCTTTGTCGTTCTTGTGACGTCAAGCATTCCACTGATAAGCCTGCGGTACAGCTTCCAATTCAGAGCCACTCTCCATGACGCACTAAGCCACACTCAGTCCATGTTGCCGCCAAAGTTCACAGCTCTTCGGCATCGTTGCTCTGATTCTCGGCACGCTCGAACATGCGCTAGACGCGTGCCGCACACATCCGTAATCTTCCGATAGCCAAACAAAATAAAGACAAAGCGATTTTGTTTATAAATAAACGAACTTGATTTCGTTTCGTATTCGCATATGCATAATTCCATTCGCAAATTTATTCAAACAAAAAGAATGGAAAATTGTCATGGCTGCTCCTGCCGCTGCTTGAGCAGCTGCATCACCGTCTGCGTTCGCAACGTTGTGCCCGCTCCAGTTCTGACCACTGGGCGTCTGCGGGTCGTCTTTGAGCTGCGCACTGGCGCAGCATTAAGCCGCTTTATGGCGTCCAGAAACGGATTTTCCTTGCTGACAAGTTCGTTCTTTTCGGGCGCTTTTGTTGTGGCCGCCTTCAAGGGCACTGGACAAAGTTTGGGCTCTTTCCGTGGCAGCGTGGACGCCTTGCGGGGCGGAGTTGCGAAGGGATCGCTCCTTGGGCTAGCTCTGGGACTTTGTGACGGCAAAGTGTCGAAGGTTTCAGTCTTGGGACTAAGCACAGGCTCAGTCAACGGCGGAATTTCCACTTTGCCTGTCTTGTCGGGAACTTCTGGCTCCAGCCAGCTTAAATCTAGCTCTGTGCAAGCCTCTGGTTCAGTGAGAGGGCCAGAAAGCAGATCCGGCATGGAGATGAGATTCAAATCAGACTCAGGCTGGGTTGCCGGCTCCTCGCCTGAGCCCAGTTCCTGCAGCAGCTGCAGGATAAACTCATCGCCCTCGTCTGGAGCAGCAGAGACTTCATTTGGCGACGCTTGGATAGGAATTGCTTCTCCAAAGTCGAACTCTTCGTCAGAGGAGGAAACCTCATCGTTGTGTGGCCAGAGGCAGCTGCGGGACTCGCACTTTAGCAACTGCTCCTCGAGGCTGATGTGAAAGTAGCGCAGTTTGTGCTCCAGGCCCTGGGCTCGGCACTCTTGACACGGGTCGCCCGACTGCAGTCTCTCCAGCTCCGACATGTGTGTGTGTGTAGAGTGTGTGTGTTACCCTAGCCCCACCGTTCACTCATTTGCATTTTGTTCTTGTGGACGTGGGCACTGCATTTTATACAATTGCTTCCCGTTTATCTGGTTTTATTTACAAATTCTTACCTGTCCGAAGGCTAAGCGAAAAGCATACAGGCCGAGATTAGTTGTTTTCATGGTCCGTTCAAGCAATGAGCGGCTGCAAAGACACAGAAATTGTCGTTAAATGAATGCCGAGCAGCTTACATAATAGAGAATTGATTTTTCACCGCCTACTCGGTGCAGGGCGACGCGTCAGAGGTTGCGGTTCTTATCACTTACTTGTGAGGTGCGACTAAAACTGAATGGTTATCTCTACTGCGACGTGCAATCCGCGGTGGTCTGCGTTGAGAATAATTAATTTAGTAGGCGAGACAAATGAGAACCAAAATAAAAATTCTCTAAAACGCATTCCACATGTCAAGAGAGTAAGCCATCTGTTTAGTGTGACCGCGGAATGGTCAGAAGTTTCCATTTTGGAAATATACCGTAAAAATACCGATGAAAAAACAAACTAACCGTTTTTGAAGCTAAAATTCCATAGAGAATAACTATATCTTTTCGATTATCCAATCCAATCTAGCCAGAATTAACCAAAATATTGTTTTGTCCTCGGTGGAAAATAATTTAAGTACCGGAACATTTATTCTGAATACCGTAATATACAGAAAATTGTGTAAAATATACTATTATTCCCGTTTACCAACACTGGCTGTGTATCTTGCGATTTCAGCATTTCATAATCATTAGAGTTTAAATTATCCCATAAAACTAAATAATATACATTATGGAGCTATCTGAGGGAGTTAAGGATCGTTTGGGAGCTGTCGTCGGCGTGGTCCAGACAACATTTCACTGGGGATTCGTGCCAATGGTGCTGTATCTGGGTATGTTTTGGCTTTTCTTTCGCCAGCACGCGGTGTCTGTTGGAAAGAAACAGTAAGTGAATTTCCGTATTGATGTTTTCAATGCAATTGCAGGTTTCACCAAGGGAGCCGAGCCCGGCATGCCACCATTGTCCATCCTGAGCCTGTTGTGGCAGTAGAAAGAAATTAGCTAAGCACACACTCCACACCGAAGTCATGCCGTGGAAATTCCAATACAACGGTGTGTGCCATCAATTTAGTACCAATTGGAGTTCCTGGCATTTCCGTTATACATAAAGTTATCGCAAATACATTTTCGTTTATAAAATGTATGCCTTTAAGAATGTGCCGAAACTCACAATAGCAATATAGGCTATGGGCGGGCAGAGAGTGACAATCTTTGGCATATGCATAACCATACATACATATGTATATCCATACATACATATGTACATAACTCAGTTTCAGATTTGGCGCTAAAATGAAAAGTGCATGCTCCTGCCCTTTTGGCTCGTTCTTCAGGACGACAATTGTGTAGTATTCTTGAGATTTAGCTAGAGGTTGATGCTGTCCCGAGCCGGTTACGGTAATGTAATCTGAGATTGGAGTGATTTTACTTAGGGCAGCGGAATTTGTTGGTAGCTTGCGTAGGTGCATATCTGCATCCGCTTGGTAGCTTGGCGTATCGCGAAATTATTCTTCAAATAATTCAAAGACTGCAGTTTAGTGGATTGATTCATCGATAGTAAAACACAAAGGGTACTCAAGCCATTAATAACAGAACGTTTAATTGTCTTATTACACTTAACTTCAAACACAATCTTGTCTATAATATCAAAGACTTATTTTTTATCTGCTCTAAATGTCCCCCTCGAGGATCATAACAACATCCTTGACAACATTTAGTACACTTGGTGGGAGAGATATGCCAGAATTGACGAAATGTTTAAAATCTCAGGCTCCAAGACCGAAACCCTATAAAACCTATCTATATAAGACAAACGAAAGCCTTCAAAACGAAATTGTGTTAGTAAATAATGGAAATAGAGTATACAAGGAGTCGATTGACAAGCTACAAGTTGTCAAAACGTAACATTTCATTCCGACTCACGTAACGTTGAATACTTTGTTTTTTGTTGACCTTCTTAGTTTGATCCTTATTTTGTATAAAAAACGTTTAAAAACACTCATAAAGACTTGAAAAACTTTTGCAAAACTGTTTTAGCAATTGCATAAAAATATAGCATTAGCGCTGATAATGCTAACTAGCTTTTAATATTAAGCAGAACATAAAAATCAAGGAAAATGAAAGAGGTTATCCGATATATTAAAAGTATATTTAAAAAATGTAAAGGTATATTTCGATATATTTCTGAGGGGCTGGCGGTGTACTTTATCGATAAATCCGCGGTCACACTGCTGCACACATATACGCGAATTTTTCGCTGCACAAATTTCTACATTTAACATAAAAATAACACCAATTAATAAAAAACAACCAGGTGCACAATACGCTTACAAGTGCCGGCCACAATTGTAAATAACGAATTGTTGCAAACCCACCCGCGATAGTGCGCCAATCACGTGATGAAAATACGATTGAAAATCGCCCTCGTCCGTGAAATGTGATATAGTTTTCATCCAATTGGGTGGGAAATTGGCTGAATATATTAGACTGTGACTGCCAAATCGAGTGCCGCGCCAGTGTTGTGATCAGTGGAACACCGCAAGCCACAAGCCATGCAGCGGCAAAATGTGAACCTGTTTGGACGTACACAGTGCGAGTCCTACGCGATAAATGCGCAGTTTAGGGGAAATTAGAGGCCGTCTGCAGAGGACTTCTTCCTCCGGCCCACCCCACTCGCACGGGCACGGCCCAATCGCTCCTGCTCCCGCGCCAGCTCCACCTATTCCTATCATACGGGCAACAAGAAGCAAATAAATTGCATCCAAAATCCAGTCCAGACTTTGAACTTGCACTTGTGTGCGTGTGCGTGTGTGTCTGCCCGCGTGTGCATGTGTGAGTGTGTGTACGGAAAACAAAAGAAAAGCCACCAAAGTGATAGGCGAGAAGAAGCGAAAATCAGCCCCGTTCCCGTGCCCCTGCCCCTTCGGAGTTATCTACACAAAGACAAGATGTTCTCCCCGCCCTGGCTGCTCCTCATGGGCGCTTTGCTGACCAGCTCCAGTTGCGGTAAGTCGGGCGGCTCCCGTGTGGATGGGAGGATGGCGCTCGGGGCCGGCCCTCGTGCGCTTGCCTCAGGTGCGAAACTAACCTAATTTTCGCCTCACCTTGCAGCCACCCCAATTGAATTGGGCATGAATAGCAGTTCCTCGATTGGGGCCACCAACGCCGAGGCGAGCAAATGGCAGCCGCCACCACCAGAGGCAGTAGCAACGACGACGACAACGACAAGGGCGCCAATGGTGAAAGCAAACGAAACAGCTGGCCAGGCTTATCTAACAAAATCGCCGTCGCAAACGACGTTGTCCGCTGATAACAGCAGGAGCCATGACAGCAACAGCAACAACAAAAGCAGCCTCAACAATAGCAACAATGGCCACGGCTACGGCAACAACAGTGCAGTGGCTATGCTGATGCCGCAAGACGGCGATGGAAGAGCAGGCGCCACGCCGTTGCCACCCTACGTGCCGCAACCGCAGAGCAGCAAGAAGCGCGACAGTAAGTCCAACGGCAGTAGGGGATCAGATATGGACAGACCAGGCCAGACCAGGCCAGGCCAAGCCAGACGAAGGCGCTTAATGAATGAAGAGCAGCAGTCGCAGTGGCAGTGGCAGCAGCCAGGCCGCCTCGCGCGACTGTATCACCTCAAAGACTTTGAATGGAGCTAGAAAGCCCACCGGCCGTCTGGGTCGTCTCCATTACGACTCAAACTCCCCGCTCACGCTGCGACTCTGTCTCCAGCTCTGTCTGGCCTCGTGACGTCAGCGCGTTGGTGTCAATGAGCTGCAGCCGCTAGCCAGACAACTCTCGTGCCCCACTCCCACGGAATTCCGCAACCAGACACCCCCCCATTTGCTTCCATTCACTGCAGTGCATTGCCTGCATTGCATGCACTTGCAACGGCCTGCACTCGACTTGGAAGCGGCAGTGGCAGAGAGGCAGAGAAAAACCCCCGGCACGGGTAGCTGGCAAGCAAGCAGGGAGGAGTGGCAAAAAAAAAAAACTGGTCGCTTTGTCTGGCCCTCCACTTTACACTTGTCTTCTTCCCACCGTCTGCTTTTGTTAATGCTAAATGCTTTTGTTTTTGTTTTATCACGCTCTGCCTTTGCCTACGACTTTGCCTCTGGCTTTGCCTTTGGCTTTGGCTTTGCCTTTGCCACTGCGGTGCGTTAGCTTGTGTTTCGCCTGCCAGCCGTCTTCTTGGCATGGAGTTCTAACTGGGACTAGCATATGATTTATGGTTAATTTTCCAATTAGTGTATATTTTATATTCTATCTATCTTTGCTCTAACTAATTCCCATCTCTTTTTCTGCCGCTAGAAACTGTAAAATGTCACTGCGACATCTGCAAGGAGACGAATCACATCTGCGAGACGGACGGCTACTGTTTCACGTCGGTGGAGAAGAATGCTGACAATAAGATCATCTTCAGTTTCAGGTAAGTCTGAGACTGCCCCAGTCCGGCCCACCTCCCCACTGTCTAGATCCATATGTATGTAGCTCTCGCACATAATCCGATAATTGAATATGTACATACATACATACATATAATCGAGCGGCATCACCCGGTCCAGATGCCTGAACATGTCGCAGAGCTTTCCGCCGGGCCGATTCATCTGGTGCAACGAGGGTCGCCATGGCGGACCCACGGCACGGCCGGCAGCTCGCAGAGGCGGACACGCCTGTTGCAATGATCGGGACTTTTGCAACCGGCAGCTGCGGCCCGTCATCAAGTACTATGCACTGGCCACACCCACATGGGAGGACGATGACAGGGGTGGTGTCATACGGCAGCAGCCGTCGGTCAACTTCGAAGGTGCGTGCGTGCGTGCACGTGTTTCTCTCCCGCCCCAACACCCACTCCCCGCTCCCACTTACTCTCTTGCTCTCTCTCTCTGTCACTCTGTCGCACGCCGTTCAAGAGTTCCATCGTTCTTTCGTTCTTTGGACTGTATTTTCTTGCCTCGAATGCTCGTTGAGTTCAAGTTCCTGAAATGATCTCATAACCCCCAACTGCAGAGCACTACTAATATAAAAAAAAACCCTAAAACAAAACAAAAACAAAATACTAGAGAAACAGAAGCAGAAGCCGCAAAAGGGAGAATCAACCTGCAACTTGAGTTTTATATGCAAATTGTTTTTGCTTATAATTATAATGTTTTTATTGGTACTAACCAGACCGAAATTTCCATTAGCAACAAGCGACGAAAGACAGCAGCAGCAGCAAAGCAGCAAAAGCTGCCGCTACATCATCATCGACAAAAAAGCAACAACAAATTGCCAAGCAATACTAATGTGTTTTAACTGTTATATTTTCTCTCTCTCTTTCTCTTTATCCGTTCTCTCACCGTTGTCGAATGTTTTTGCCCCTCGCCTCGCCTTTGAACATCCTCGCTCGCTCGCTCGCTCGCCTCTCGTTTCCGCTCCTTCCATGATTACTGTATTTGGTAACTGTGTTGCTGTACACATGTACCTGTACCCGGGCACACTTTAGTTGCCTCGAATTGAAATACGAACTGCATCGGGAGCCGCTGGAGTGCCTCACCAGCCGCATCAAATATGATTCGTATAGGATAAAATGTTGTAGGGAAGACTTCTGCAATAAGAATGAGATTATGAAAAGGATATTTGAAACAGGTACAGCCCACAACAACAGCAACAACAAAGTAACCCCACAAAAACAAAATCAATCAATCAATCAAAAACAAATACAATACAATTTCTCTCTTTAGTTTTTGCACACACTCTCTCTCTCTCTCTGTCTCTGTCTCTTACCTCTGATCTCTGTTATTTACTATTTGCCTAATTATGCACTGCAACAAACAAACAAATAAACAAAAAACTAAGACAGCAACACTAGCAACCAAAAAATATTCCAACACGTAACCAATCCAATAATCTGTAATAATTATTAATAATTATTTTAGTTTTGGTCTAGCACTATTATGATTACGATTTTTTTGTTTTTTTGTTATAATTTCCTTTAGGTTTGCACCGCAATTTTGTTTATTAATATTTTGTTTTCCTTTCTTCTATTTGCACTTTGTTTGCTTTTCGGGTTCTCTGGCCCCAATGTTGTTTTTAGCACCTTCCTCTCTCTCTTTTTATTTTACTCTCTGTCTCTTTCTATCTTTGTCTATACACACAATATATAGTACACACATACAGTATATGTACGTATACGGAATTCAGCTTACACCTCCTTATCTTAATGAATTACACTTAACCTTTGCATGCAAATTCGAATCTTGTTTGTAGTTTGTAGATATCTACTTCACTTTCCAACCATTCCACGCGATTCTTCCTTGTGGATTGTGGGAGGTGATTTTACAATTATTTTTGTACTATTTATATATGGAACGGTTTAGCTTTTGGTTCTTCCCGTAGAGCACTCTGGCTTCCCGTGCCCATGGAGATCTGTTTCAGCTGGTTTCTTTTTCTATACAGATTGTCTACAAGCAGGAGCTAGTTATGCATGTTTAAAGCTATTTCTTACTCTGGAATGTATATGAGTTAAATTGCTGTTGGTTTCAGTTCTTGAACTTCGTAACACTCTGCACAATCCAGTGAAAATCGATTTGTTGAAAAATCTTCCTCCCCCAAAAGACAATCGATTGACCAGAGTCTGCGGTGTTTGGCCACATTTGAATCTTCTACTGATTGCGAAAATTATATATATCGAAGGAGTCCTATTATGTGATATTTCCCTTAGGGTTTGGGTTAAAGATTCCCTCCTCCAGGTTTCTCCACCGGTTCTATCTGAAATTATCTTAGTTCCAACTTCCCTCTTTCCCTTGGTATTTTTGTGGAAAACTTGTATTGCTTTTTGCCAGTGCACCCCTTCCCCCACACACAGCTCCCTGCCTGACGCTGACGCTGCCGCTGAGTAACCCCACTCTAACCCAAAACCCCGCTCCTGACTCCTTGGCGTATGTAATAATTCCCCGCTCCCAGCCCCCTTTAGACACACACAACGATGCTCTCGCAACAAGAACAAATAAACAAACAGGTGCTCTCAATGTAGTTTAGTAAGTGGTAACAACAACAAAACAACAACAAAGCTGCTTCGCAACTGCACCACCAAGCAATATCTACAGCCGCAACTACAAAAACCTTTTACAATTCTAATCTATAACTATAACTATGCTAAACTAACCCGCAAAACCGTATTAGTATTAGTTTTAAGTACTAACGCAACAACTTGAAGCAGAACAACAACACAAAGCAACCTTACATATGTATGACTACTACAAGAATACTAAATATTATGTATGTAGATGCCTGCCCCCCGACCAATTACCACCCCAAGATCCGTCCACCTGTAAATTCCGAACATCGAATGTCTCGTCACAATGTTGTCCCGACGATTTTTGCAATACGCGTGCGAATTACAGTGGGCCGATACCAGGTGAGAGTTGCACATCCACCAGTCCACCCACCAACAACCACAACCACCATGACCATGCCCATGCCCATGCAGTCTTAAACTCAACGCCGACCCTTCCATCCATCATCCTCCGCCCACCCTCAAAACAGCCCACTCTGTATCCCTTCCATTGCACCACATCATTGCGTTGTTTGCCAACAATTACCATATCCAAAAACTGTATCGCATTTGAGAAAGCTTGCTGGAACAGACACATATGTACATACATACCTACATATTTATGTATTCACTTGTACATGTACGTAAATATGTATGTATACAATTGCAGTTAAAATAATAGGAGCGTTCTGAAAAAGATAATAGATTCTGAACAACTATTTAAATTTTTCCTCAAGGAAAGACTCATCATGTGCAATTGAACTCATTGGCTTGTATCACTCCTATTATTGTGACCGCAGCTATACATTCACTCACGCATTTGTATACCTGTCTAACAAGCACACGCACAAACGCATACACAAGCTCCAAGCCACTCCCCGCCCTCCAACCACATATCCGCCGCACATATCCCTACGGTTGTTCGCCTTTCGAGGGAAGAGAAGTAGATAAAAGGAAGAAAATATTTTGCTCGTTTTTAATTCGCGCGTTTGTCCTTGTTTATTCGTTGACTTTTACATTTACATATATTTACATATGTATACTTTGTTATTTTATTGAGTGTTTTGTGGCCTCGGCCACTGTCCTACCTCACCCACCGTCAACTTTCGCCACAGTGACCTTTCAACTGTCAAACTGTGTCTGCGCGAAATTTTCTCAGCATTTTGTTCGGATTTTCAGTCACGCATACAACAAAGAGGATATTTGATTCAATCTTGTTGGGATTCATTAATGTCCATTGCTAAACTTTATTTTTGGATCTCTGAGGTATGCCATTCTTTGATGCGTTGCCAACCTTCTACTCAAAACGCATTCAAAAAGGAAGTCAAGTCGGCAAAAGCAGACTGCAACAAGAACAAACATGTCTCAAGGGCTTTGCTTCAGCAACAACAACAAGAAGAAGAAGAGTGAAGAAGCCGTCACAGTTCCAGTGGCGAGCTTTATATCAACTCCTCACTCTCTCATCCACCCACAAGCAGTCTGTGCCAATGTCGGAATGCATGTGTGTGTGCGAGTGTGTCGACTGTCTGTCTAGGTGTTCTCTTTTCGTTTATGCAGTTTGCTCATTCATTCATGTGCATTGCAGCGCCGACAAAGCCGCAGTTGCAGTCTGCGCCGCCGTCGCAGTCGCAGTCAAAGCTCGCTCATTTCATTCATTAATGGTGGCCGCATTTTTGTCTCGTCTGCTGTTTTTTGTCTATCTTCATGTTTATACCCTTCAAGAAGTTGTGTTCTTAGTTGAGGCGTTCATGATAAATTTACATAAATACATATGTATATATGTACATGCTTATAATATGTATGTACGAATACAATTCATGTACAATTTTGGAAAATCTCTCTTAGTATGTATTTCCTTGAACAACTTCTTAAAGGGTATTTAGGTTTTGTTGCAGTTAAATATGCACTACCATTACGTTCTTGTTCTCGTTCATCAAAATTTTCGTAGTTGTATGTTTTTTCTCATTTATATAGCACTTTTGTGATTGTTCAGTCGGGGTTTTATGTATGTGTGTGTGCGTTTGTCTGTTGATTTGGGTTCAGCTTCGGTTACGCTCTAGCCTCCTTTTCAATTAGGTGGGCGTCCGGAAAAGTCGAATCGTTATTTTCGCTTATGGAATTTGTGTTTAGTAATATACTTGGAGTAGATATTAAAACTGCGCTGAAACGTGTAGGGGTTTTTGTAAATAACTCGTGAAATTTATGTGCAGGTATTTATGTAAATCGTATAACCAACTTTAGTCACTAAACCAATCAATTACACATTACGCTAATCAATGCCTGCACTTTGATTTGGTTATTGCTTTTTTTTTCTCTTCCGTTATTTTTCGTTTTGCTGTTACGTTTATCATGCACATCTAACGGTAAATGGCTTTTGCATGCCCCCTTTAATCTGCATACTCTCCGTATCCGTATTTATTTCGCATTGATTTCACACTACTTTCTACACTACGCTCTCTACTCTCCTTCTTGCGCTCCGCTAACACTCTATTACATTTGATTTCGAACAGATTTTGTACCGGAACGCACTCTGAGCAGCTGGGAACTAGTCGGTATCATTGTGGGTGTGACCCTCGTCATTTGTGTGACGGGTACGACCTCCTGGTACTACTACCAGCGTCGCAAGCGCCTGGCCACCGGCAGACCCTTCGCCAAGGAGGACTCTGTCTACGATCCCATACTGAATGGCAACACCACCATACACGACATCATTGAGATGACCACATCGGGGTCCGGTTCGGGTGAGTTCCAAGCACTCTACACTGTAATGCGCTCCGTACTCACTGCCTAAATTGTACCTCCACCTCCAGCTGGCCTGCCGCTTTTAGTACAGCGCTCCATCGCACGCCAGGTGCAGCTTTGCCACGTGATTGGCAAGGGGCGCTTCGGAGAGGTCTGGCGTGGACGCTGGCGTGGTGAGAATGTGGCCGTAAAGATATTCTCCAGTCGCGAGGAGTGCTCCTGGTTCCGCGAAGCCGAAATTTATCAGACGGTAATGCTCCGACACGAGAACATTCTGGGTTTCATTGCAGCGGACAACAAGGGTGAGCCTTTGAGCAAGAGTCATGTTGTCATGCATGCAAGAGTCTAATTCTTCTTCTAAATGTTCCCCCATAGACAACGGCACCTGGACCCAGCTTTGGCTGGTCACGGACTACCACGAGAACGGATCGCTCTTCGACTATCTGACTACGCACACGGTGGACACCAACACAATGCTAAACATGTCCCTGAGCATCGCCACTGGCTTGGCCCATCTACACATGGACATTGTGGGCACGCGCGGCAAGCCCGCCATTGCACATCGCGATCTCAAGTCCAAGAACATACTGGTGAAATCGAATCTAAGCTGCGCCATCGGTGACCTGGGCCTCGCCGTGCGCCACGTGGAGAAGGACGATTCGGTGGATATACCCTCTACACATCGGGTTGGAACTAAGCGCTACATGGCCCCAGAGGTGCTGGATGAGAGCATGAACGCCCAGCACTTTGACTCGTACAAGCGGGCAGATGTGTACGCCTTTGGCCTGATCCTCTGGGAGATTGCACGGCGCTGCAACATGGGAATGATCTACGATGAGTACCAGTTGCCGTATTACGATGCCGTGCAGCCGGATCCCAGCATTGAGGAGATGAAGAAGGTAACTTCGCCTTTTATTTAAAATTTACTTTGAATTAAAGATTAATCGAGTATCTGGACTCCCCTGCAGGTCGTATGTATTGAGAAGAGTCGACCTAATATACCGAATCGTTGGCACGCCTCCGACGTGCTCCACAACATGGCCAAGGTAATGAAGGAGTGCTGGTATCCGAATCCCGTGGCACGTCTCACGGCACTCCGAATCAAGAAGACCCTCGCCAGCATCAGTGTAGAGGACAAGGTCAAGAACTGATTGTGGCTCTAGTTCCGGTTGCTTCAGTTGCCCGCCCAGTGGCGAAAGTGTCTGTACATACGAATGCGTGCGTGCGTGTGCGAGTGTGTGTGTGTGTGTTTGTGTATGTGTGTGTCTACTCCATGCAGCAGTAACCTGTAACCTGGCCCCGCGTGACCTTAAATGTCGTGGCAGCGCCTGCGAAGCAGATCCAGCAACCCGTTAAAAGAACAGAAATACAAAGAAAGCTGTAAATATTAAGTGCTAACTAATCCTGAGGGTATTCATTGCTTTGCTTTGTTTTTTGCCCACAATGAGCTCGTGTTATTCGTTTTGAGTTTTACCAACCAACCAACCAACCAACCACCCGCCCACCATCCTCGACACTTGTACATAGCCAACGTTGACATTTCCCCTGAGATTTACTTATGTTGGGGCAGCGTGAGCAAAGCGGCACCCCAGAGCAAACTGCCGCACTGCCATTGGTGCCACCAATTAGGGACTAGTTATACATACATACCCACAATATACCCCACAAAAAAAAACAAACAACGTAAATATATTTTTTATAGACCTTGTTTCAGAAACGAGACGACACAACAAACGAACGAAAAAATACAGTAAAAGACTTTGCCAAGACTGAACAGCAGTGGAGAGCAGTGGAAGCTATGCACATATAATTAATGTGAATTGAATACAAGACAACACAAAATACAGTAGATCCGAATTGCATGCACTTTTCGACTTCACCTTATCAAATAAATATACAAAGAATCGACAACGATGACAGGAAAAGCGTTTGGAGTAAGGAGAAATCAACCAATTTAGGCATAGACCAACAGAATCGTTGACCAAACTCAGGAAATCTTAAAGTAAATGTAAAATTTAAACATACAAATCGGTGCGCCGCTTGCTCATGCTTAGCCTGCCATGCCCCAAATGCTATTGCTTTGCTGCAAGCTAATTGTATCACACATACATATAAATCGCTGGCTGAACTTGTATACAAAAACTCACTTCATCCACACCTCATGGTCATTTTGTTGCATCATCTCTGCACCACATTTACATTAGATGCATCAACCTTATCGTACCCTTTTACCATAGTCTTTTTGATTTCTTTTCTGTTATAACCAAAGCTTGTTCTTCCTATTTTTCTGTAGTCACATAGAGATAAAGCAAAGTAAACAAAACAAAACAAAACTATATGCATATTACAAGAGTATACAGTAAACTTTATGTATACAATACCTATACATATTTGAATTGTGAACTATGTATATTTTTGCATTAACTGCAAATTGTAAGAAACTCGATGTTTCATGAACAAACAAACCTAAGCCCATAGTTTAAGTCTGTGAACAGAAGAGTTTTGCCTGTTCTAGAATATGTTTAACATGTCCGAGCGTTTTATTTGCCCCCCATAAAATGCCATAAAGCTGAACGAGTCCATTACCAAATCTATGAGAATGCAATAGTAGTTTCTACATACCAAAATATTCCTCAAACCCCCGCCCCACACACAGTCCACACAGATGCCCACACAAGCTGAGAGATTAACGTAATAATTAATTTAAACAATTAATTTCGATGTAAGCTAAGCTACCACTAAGCATTTTTACGAGTCTTGCCTGCAAGATTGTAACTAGAATTATGATTCTATTTTAGAAACTACTCGTAAATATTAAACTATGTATTGTTACACTTTTGGCCTGCGAAATTTCATTTCCTATATTAGTTTCCTGTGCGAACGAACCAGTCTAAACAACATACATATTTCAAGCCTTTATACAAAACGCGTGCAGCGTACATACATTATACATACATATATAGTACATTTATATATATTTAGTTTATAAAACTATTCCTGTAATTGTATAATCTGTAAATAGTCCGTGGAGTGGAGCGTCTGTGAGTGCGAGTCAAACACATAAAGCGAGAAAAACATTCAATGGATCGTGTTAAATGCTAAATGTTTAACTGTGTTCTAAGCTAAGTTTAGGCCGAGACTTGTTTTCAAAAGACAAATCCATAAGACACCAAACCTCCGATGGAGGTTCTTCCTACCGTCTACCACCTACCGTTTAACCCCCCCTAACCTTTGATCCAAACCAAAAAAAAAAAACAAACAATTATCATTGAACTGAGTTGAAGATTCAATTAAAATCGAAAGGAAAACCTACACAAAAGACTTGAACCATGCGCAAAAATGTGAAACAAAAATGACGAAAATAAAACTACAAAATATATCCTATTTTGCTTGCAAAAAGAAAATTAATTTTTGGTAAATATTATCATTGAATGATTTCGAGAACGAAAACGGAAAACCTTTACGTTTAGGCTCAAGTAAGCGAAAATTGTCTCAGCCATTAATTAATGAGCGTTTGTAATGTGTATTTATCGTAACTGAACTGGATCGTGAGAGATATAGAAAGAGAGATTGGAGGATGGATTTACTTGGGTGTAATGTTAAAAACAGAAGCGTTGAAAGTGTAAACAGAGTCTAACTTTTAGCTTTAAGCTGCGTTTTTACTGGCACTTTAAATAAAATACAAAACATAAATAAAACAATCTGAAAATATTTGTAAAAGAACATCAAACGGTTTTCACTCATTCAATTCATTCATTACCACCCTCCCCCCCAACCACAACCCCAAGCGTTTATATTGAATTAATTATTATTTGTATGCCTCATGCCTCATCTCGTGGAGCCTTCGGCCGTCGGTTGCTGTGAGTGATTTGCATATGAAAATATCTCCGCGAAAAGGAGAGAATTTATTTGCTTAAACGCTTGTTTGTGGCGGAAAAGTGCCTGCAATATTCATGCCCTCCCACTCAGTTCAAATTCAAATTGTTGCCTCTTGTATGGTTGTATGAAACCAAAATTATCTTACAGTGATTTGATTATTTAATATTCATCTCATAATAATTCCAACTCGTTCTAGACTGGGTAATAATCAAGTTGCTGCTTATGGACCTTTGCAGTAAATCATTTATTGCGTTAAATTTACATTTAGATGTCAAATAATTGGTAATTAATTAGTTAGTTTTTGGTTAAATATTTTAAACATTGATTTGCAATACTTTTGCTGTCTTATTAACATTGAATGCCTCAGTCAGTATATTTGGAGATTCTACGAAAAACACATCTAGATTTATAGGATCGTTGCGAGTAAAGTGACTGGATGTGGTCACCGAGTTTCAAGGTTTGTGCACAAAGAGAATAAATATTCATATACGCAGAAATTGTCTCTATGCTACGTCAACTTGAGTAGTGATATGTATTTGTTTAACATTTTGATATGTTTATGATAATATTTGCATCTATATTTAGGTACTTCTTCGTGTGTGTCATTTAGCTGGGTCTTTCACGTCATTTTAATTAGCATTTAAACTTCCACTTCCAGCTCGTGGGGATCTTTAATAGCGGCGATGCTGTAGATGCTGTTGGATGGCAATTAATTAGAGGGAAATTAACCTTCATTGATGACTCACCTCTGAGCCAACCATGTCCACACAGTCGAAGGCATCCCGGAAGTAGCCGCAGCTGCGCTTGGTGCCAGCCCGATGATGCAGTCGCTGCTGCTGGCAGCACATTCCACTGAAAAACGAAGAGATGACACATGCCAGATGAAGCCCAAGTACAGAGGAACTTTCTTCTCGAAACTTACTTGACAACCTGGCAATCGCTGCTGCTGTTGCAATCGCTGCCCAGCGGCTGCTTCTGCCTCAGCCCGAACATCTCCTCCAGCAGCGAGGGGGCCGCGCTCGACTCCGGCTCAGTCTCGCAGCGCCAGATGCCCTCTTGGGCGACCAGCATGCAAACACTGCCCGAGGCGCAGTCCCCGTGGCGCTGGCACAGGTCACGCTGGTGTCCAAACACATACACGCACTTGCCCTCTGCAAGACAAACCAAAAGGACACTCAGGGGGAGAGTGAAAGGCGAATAAATGCACAACGACTTTCGCTTACCGCCATTGCTGGTGACACAGACCCCTGTGGGGCAGCAGTCCTCGCTGATCAGGCAGGGGCGGTCGGCGCAGGGTGTGTCTTCAATCAGCGGCTCAACAATCCCATAGACCTCGGTCTGCTGGCGCAGCTGTGGGAGTCCAAGGGAGGAGGAAGCAATTAGCGGAGCACTTGTCTGGCCTGTCATCCGCTGCGTGTGCGTAACATTCTACCCCCCCAAAACGCGCTTTAACCTCTGCATTCGCCGGCTATCAATACAAATGATACTCCATGGCCCATTCATTAATTTGAGCATCGTCCTGAACTCTGAACTTTCCCCTCTAGCTGCACACACACGGCCCAAGATTCAATTTGCTGGCCACACAGCTTCATGGTCCAGCGGCGTTCTATGAAATGGCATTCTACGGCATCCGCATTGCAGTTTTTCGCACAGCTTGGTGGCTTGGTTATTAACAGGTTGTTGGGGGTTGGCTATGAGATTTGCAAACAGTTTATAAATGTTCCCAGAAACCTATCCGGACCATGAACTGATATTTGATCAAACGTCTGAACTCTACAGGCTCAAGCGAAAATCAATATTCTGCGGCTATTTAAGTGCCAATCACGGAATTGAGGTTGAGCATCAGACTTGAAATTGAGTGGGCGTAACGTAAGTAAGTAAGTTTTTTAAGTGAATTAAACGTTTAAAACTTTTTGTGTATTTTAGGTGGGTCAGGAAATATTCGAACTCCTACGGCATACCCTGTCTGGTCTGCAATCTGGGGCTCCCGTGGCTGTAATAATTTTCCATTACGCCCACACTCACCTGTTGGGGCTGCTGTTGCGGCCGATGTGCCATCCGCGGCTCCTGCTCAATGGGATAGGGGCCAAATATTTGCTTGTATTCCTTGTAGCCCCCCATGTCGGGGCCTCCGTCGTAGCTGGCGCTGCCATCGCCCTCGCTGCGGCGCATCAAATTGCGCGAATCACGGCCGAAGAGGTCGCGCTGCCAGGCCGCACCGTAGGGGGACGAGGCCACCGAGGGCTCCAGCTGCATGGCCATGCCGAGGAGCAGCAGTAGCGCCGCCCACAGCGGAAAGTTTCTCATGTTGGTCACGTTAGTAAGCCATTGTCCGAGCCAGAATTTCTAGTTGCTGCGAGTAGTCAAAAGTGTAACAGCAGCTACCAAAATTATATTCAATCAGACGCCTATATCCGTAGGGACTATCCTGCTAGAGTCCAGGATACAACATGAGCTGCTCCCTTAACGGCGAAAGGTAATATCTTGCTGTGTGCCGCTGACAGGCAACTCATTAAAATTGTCGGCTCATTTTTATTGCCGGATGAAAGGTGCACATAAATCGTAATATACAAGACACAGACACATGCGTTGGTATGCGTAGGAGCGCCAAATCGGCGGATTGTTGCTCGGTAAATACGTTCATCAACTGCTGACAATGCCGCCTCATTGTGCGTAATCGAGTTGGCACACTCTGAAAGGCTAAGCGGCAATTGAAAGAGTTTCAATTAAGCCACAGCAAGCCTTCAGGCCATTTTGGTAATTAATAATCAAAGCTTTTGTGGTTTCAAATCATAGATATTCAAATATACTTCACGTCATAAAAGAATGACCTTTTGCCGCAACATCAAAGCTCTAACTAGCTTTAATTCAAAGCCTTTAAGTTGGGACAGCTCTTCCCCCAAGCCAAAATATATGTTGGCCATTCTCCCATTTCCCTACCTAGGGCAAAAGTCGATGTCTCTTTTTTTTTAATTTAGTAGCGCAAATGTGCAATATTTTTTATGAATTTAAGGCCAGACCATATTTTGGGACACTTTCTTAACCCGATGTCGTCTAAATGTGCACAATGGATAACAGTTGTAGCCGCTCTTTTATAAATAATTTAGAGCACAGCCAGAAGTATTTAAATATAGAGCTCTTGACACACTTGGCGACGTCACATTACATGGCAAAGACAAAGGCAAAGACAAAGGCAAAGGCAAAGGCAAAGGCAATGAAAGCTTTCTCAGCTTGTCGCCGTGTTAATATACACACATACATACGCAAATATATATTTATGTATGTGTTGGGACGCGGAAGATGGTCGTGGGAGTGCAATTTCATTAATGGGTAGGCTCTCGGTCCACCCTGACCCGAGCATTCCCAGGAAGCGGGAGTGGGAGTGGGTGAAAATCCTTGCCGGTCTGCTTTTAGCATTTTGTTAATTACTTTTTGCACTTTTCTTGGCCAGTGCCTCTTGTTCCTTTTATAACTTTCTGCCCAACTTTGAGGGACTGTTGCTTGGCTACTATCAGACTGCTCGCTGGGCGTCTTTCAGCGGGGCCACTAATTACCATCAGCCATCCATTACCGGTTATCAAATCTCAGCCCGAGAGGTGTGAGCTGTGTGCTTTGCTGGTTGCCTGGCGAGAAATTGTAATTGATCTATTGTGCCGTTAGGCAGTTGGGGGAAGATGGCCTAATTGTGGTCATTATTCAGGTGTTCCGTTCTGTTAATTAACCAAAGTGTTGAGGCTGAGGCATCTACAAAGGGGTCCTTAACTGGCTCAAAGGAGTCACAAGCTGCCATTACAACTTCAACACCCTTTTTGTCCTGTGTTTACGGTTACGCAGGAAACTAACTTAAATGTGACTAATTGCTGCTGGGGCTGCTGGGGCTGGCAATTGTGAAAGTTTTGCAATTATTAAGTTTCCGTTTACATATTTTACAGCATCGAACCAAGTTTGCCAATAACGATGAGCCGCCAATGGGTCAAGTTCTGAAGTGCTTGGCAGCTGACAAAAGTTTTTCCAACGCACTGTGCAGGTGTGGAATGCTTGGGGAATCATATCAGGTAAAAAAGTTGGACATACAATCCATAGGAGTGTGGAATTACCAACTCAACAGCCAAGGCCCAGTGTTTACCTATCATCTGGGAGAATTGTGTGCAAGTTTCACCTTTTGTTTACTCAGGAAATGTGATTCTACTTGGCTATCTCTACTGCACCTACCACTACTTACTAACGTAGCCACAAAAGTTCAATTATCTACTGACACACTGACAAAGGTCACTGTTAATTATGACACACACACGCACACACCACACACACACTGGGCAGAGGAAATTGTGCATTTCCGTTTCTATTAGTTGCATCAACAGCCGCACCTTTCACCTACTGTAAGCTACAATTTGTAGCACACAAGTGTCCAGAGTCGGGATTCAGGGATAACTGCACGCTGCACGTACCTGCTGGCTGCTCGTCCTTTCGGCGACTAACTGAATGGCAGCGAAAGGCAACACCTGTCGGCTGGCTGGCTGGCTGGCTGGCTGGCTGCCGCGCCAAAAGCTTTCCACCCGACAAGCTTTTCTTGGAATTTATGAATTAAATGTTTTTGTGTGTGTTTTGCTGTTGGTGGGTGGCAGACACCCAAAGCTTTGGCGCTCAACGTATGCGTGTCTGCGAATACACATGGGAATCAATATCAATGGAGACGATGAGTGCATACTTATGTACATCTGTACATCTACTTATCTGCATGTACATATGCTGTTTTCCATGCAACCTTGAAAGCTTAATGAGCATGTAAATGCGACCACACAAAGCCGTGTCCCGGCATGGCTGGATTGGCCTGCAGCTAAATCTGTTCAACAAAGAAAACACAAACACACAACTTTGTTTTTCGGCTGCGGTTAAATTAGATGAGAAGTGCCTCTGCTGCTGTGAGTGCTTTGGGCAAATTCAGCTACTGCACGACCTTCAGGACATTGTGTGCATCAGGATTGCTGGCCATCCGCATAGCAGAGTGGATGGGCAGCGATAATTTAATCAGTGAGGCAAAATAAATACATTTAAGTTTCCTCCAGTGTGCTTGTACATGTTGGTGCATTTTAAATGCAAATACCTGTTCCAGGGGGTTCTCTTTAAGCAAAAATAGCACTGCACGCGGGAGAGTCCGAGCAGAGAACATTGAATATTGTGGGAAAATAATGCAGCTGGCACTTCCGTTTGATGCTGCCTCCTACTACATATATTAAAATGAGTTTTGCAGCATTCCGATGCATTTGCTCCTTCCTGTTGATTGCTTTTTGGCACTGTACTCCCTCGAGTGCAAAGTGGAAAAGAAAATAACTTTCTCCGTGGATTTAAGCAAACTTTTGCAATATTTTCTAATAATATTTATTTTGTTTTTTTTTTTTTTATTGGGTTTTTGTGGGTTTCCTTTTCGCATCGATTTGTTCGTTCGCTTAACAATTAACATAAAACGTAAAGAGATAAAAAAATTAATCGTATAATTAGATAAATTAGTAAATTCAATTGAACTAAAAACATTTGCTCTCTCTCAAACTCAAACTCAATCTCAATCTCTTTCACTTGTCTTTCACTTTAACATAACAACAATTTGCCTATGAAAATTAACAATTTATTTTTAGTTGAATCAAAAGCGGGGTTTTTCGGGGTTTAATCGTACAAATAAATAAATAAATAAATAAATAGACCTAGCACTAGAATAAATATTTTGTTAGCGTACGGCTACGGCTTGCAACTAATAAAATATACGAGTAATTCTCATTCAGACTCTACAAGTGTTGGGCACAGAAAGAATCTGCAACACGCTCCTCAAAGTATCTGAATCTTTGAGTCTCTGTCTCGTTTCTCGTTTCAACTTTAAACTAATGGAATGAGGATGGAAGGTGCACAGAGAAGGAGACGGGGGATAGAATGGTGAATGCGACGTGGATGCTTAACAGTCTGAGTCACGCGTTTGTCCACAAAACTCTTTAAACTCTACTTTCTATTTACACTTGCTGATGCTGCTGCCCCCTAATGTTGCTGTTGCTGTTGCTGGCAGCTCCTTATTTGACTCCTGTTATGCTGCGCAGCCAGGGCTTGTAGAAGGTCGTACGCATGTACACACCGGGCAGATATGGCGCCGCGCACTTGATGCCATGCGAAACGGTGCCAGCCAGCTCGTAGCGCCCGTCGGGACGCTGCAGCACCAATGGACCGCCACTGTCGCCCTGTCAGCAGAAAGTAGAAAGTCGAAAGTAGAGAAAAGAATTAGCAAACACTTTTTACGCTATCATTCCGGATATCTCACCTCGCACGAGTCCTTCTGGCCGTTGGCATAGCCGGCGCACAGGAACGAGTTGAGAATCTTCTTGTTGTGGCCCGCAGTGTGGAACATCTCCTGGCACACGCTGTTCTCGATAACCGGCACCTGTTGTTGTCATTAAAAGTTGCATTAAATATGTGGCTCATGGTGCTTGTTCGTGGTGACTCCACTCACCTGCACTTCCTGCAGCACGGAGGGCACACCGCCGCCATACTTGAGTCGCCCCCAACCGGTAACGGTGGCCATGCGTCCCGTAAAGTCCGCCGCATCGTTGGGCATGCAAATGGGAACTGCAGGGAGAATAAAAGTGAAATGTTTAAGTGCTTTGCCCTGTACAAAGCAGCGATGGCTTACTCACCTATATGGGTGTCAAACTGCACGGGACTGTCCATCTCGAGGAGAGCCAAATCGTTCTCGAACGTGGCCGGATCATATTGGCGATGGACAATGACGCGCTTCACGTTCTTGGTCACAGAACGTTTGCTCTCCAGGTCGCCAGAGATATCGAACTCACCCATGACGGCCACCAGCGAGGCCAAGAAGCTGTGGAGATCAATTGGAGTCAGGCAATGAGCGGATCAGGATGGGGATGGGGATGGGGAGGGACGACTTACCCAGGCTGACAATGGGCAGCGGTGACGACGTAGCGACTGTTGATCAGGACACCGCCGCACTTGTTCTTTGTGAACAGGCCCAGCCAGGTGGATTCGCGGACCAGCACCTGCCAGGGGAAGGCGCCAAAGGATGAGCCCTTGCCGCCCACAATGCGGCCGGACTTGACATGTGGTCGGACGCCGCACTCTGTAGATGGGGAGTGAAATGCGAGGTTAGGAGTGGGGAGTGTTCAGAGCAAGACAGACACATGGATGGAGAGATTGACAGAGAGAGAGAGAGAGAGAGAGTGAGTGAGTAGGAGAACGAGAGCGATCGAGAGATGGAGCTGGAGTGTATTGCTATACAAATATCTAGGAGGATTACATGGATCGGGTATGGATGAGGGACAACTAGAACTAGGAGGGGGGGTTTTTGTGGATATTTAAGCGGGTTTTCGGTTTCTTCTTTTGTTCTTGCGACGCGCTAAAAAAGTTTGGGAACAATTGTAAATGCCGTGGGGTGTGTGTGGGTTGGGAGGATTGGTTTTGGGTTTGGAAGCGATTTGGAAGGATTCGGTTATAGGCATGAGCGAGAGAAAACAAGAAAGAGAGAGAGAAAGAGACAGTTGTTTCGGGTCCATGCTACAGTCACTCAACACTTACGGATCTTGCGGCCATTCGCTCCGCCGTAGGAGCTGAGTGTCGATCCCTGACCGATTTCGTTGTCGCTGGGATTCGGATTGACATCCTCCTCGTCCTCCTCGTCCACAATCTCATCGTCGGCGGGCCGAGCCGAGCTCACGGTGGTCGTCTTTACGGTGCTGCTGACGCGTCGTGTGGGCTTCTTCGTGGCTGCAGGCTTCCGGGTGCTGACAGTCGTCTTGGGTGCCACAGTGGTGCGCCGCGTGCCCGGCTTGCGGGTGGTGCTGCTGGCCGATGGCTTCTTGTTGGGCGCCTTGGTGGAGACTCGTGTCACGGGCTTCTTGGTGGTCGCCTTGGGCTTGGCCGTGGATGCCACTCGCACGGGCTTACGCGTGGGCTTGCGGGTGGCAGTGGTTACTCCGCCAGCTCCAGCTCCAGCTCCAGCTCCCGCTCCCGCCTGATAGGTGGCTGCCGAACTGTTGCCCGTTGGCTCATCAATCATGTCGGCCAGAGCCTCAAAGTTGCCCTGGAGCGAGGCCACCAGCTTGTGGACCAGCGTGTGCATCTTGTCCTTCAGCACCACATCCTCGACAAAGGCGGGCGTGGAGAGATCCACGTCGCTGGTCACAGCACTGGAGACGGCGGACATGTTCAGGTTCGGATTGCGCACCGGCGGGAAGTTGACAAAGTCATTCGGCGAGGTGTACGTCTCCTCCATGGCACTGGGGCCCACCTTCTCTCCGGGCACCGAGAAGGCAGGATACGAAGGCGTGGGCCCAAAGTAGCCCGGGAAGGCGGGCTTGTCGTCGGAGGGTGCGGGATAGGGCGACTCCGAGGCTGTGGACTGCGTGAAAGACACGTGCGCGGGGCTGCCGCCAAAGTAGCCGGGATCCTCGAAGTCATTGGAGCTGACCGGTGCACCTGCCGGTCGTCGGGTCACTATCTGATTGTACACGAACGAGGTAGAGCCCGAGGGCTTGGGCGTGATCAGCACCGTGGGACGTGGCGGCCTCGGTGTGCCATTGATCTGCACGAAAGTGGGCTTCTTGTGGCCTCCGTAGCTGCCTGCTCCGCTGCTGCTGGTGGGGCGATGTGCGTAGGCGGGCGTCGATGCGGTGGCCACCAGCGGGGGCTGGTAGTTGCCCGGCGTGGAGCCCACAATGTTCTCGGCCGTGCTCTGGATGAATGCGTCCAACTTGTCGTCGGCCATGAACAGCGGCGGCACATTGTCGTAGTGGTAGTCGACGGTGGCGGGCGGTCGGGGCGTGCTGGGTCCGGTCACATAGCTCGTGGCCACGGGCTTCGATGTGGAGGGCTGGCGACCCGGCGAACTGGCCACCGACTGCTCATTGTAGCCCAGGGCTGGCTGTGGCTGTGGCTGATCGAATTGTGTGAGTGGAGCCTCTGGTTGCAGCTGGCCGTAGCTGGACGTCTCGGCCTGATCGTAGCTGGAGCTGGAGGCGGGAGCCGAGGGTGGATCTGGCTGATCATAGTTGATGCCCGGACGTGCCGAGGAGCTGCTTCCAGCGACTGCTGGTCTGGGATAGCCAGACTGTTCCGTCTCCTGCTCCTTGTTGTAGCTGGACGAGGGCTTCTTGATCTGAATGTGCGTAATGGGGGATTCCTCGGCATCGTAGCTGCCATGTGGCTGTGGCTTCTGTTTGGTATTCTCCTGGCTGATGGGTCGCTTCACGCCCGGACGCTTTGTGCTTGGCTTGGGGCGAGGTCTGGGACTGGCCGTTATCAGCACGGGTCGCTCTGAGGAGGCATCTTCCAGGACTTCATCGTACTGCGGCCGCTGTGCCACAGGTGTCGTCGTTTGTGGCTGATAGCCGTGCGAGGTCTCGTCATACTGCTCCTGCACCTTGGTGGTGTGCGAGGACACAGACACCTCGGCGGGCACCTGTGGTTGCAATTGGGACTGGGATTGGGATTGGGATTGGTATTGGTCTCCCAGCGATGCCTGCTGCTGCTGCTGCTGGTTGTAGTGCTGCATGGTCACCATGCCAATGTACGAGGCCACGGGACGGTTCGGCTTGTTGGCATTTGTCGTGGGACGCACGTAGGTGGGCACTGGTTGGGGCTGCGGCTGCTCCGTCTCGACAGTGGAGAGCTTCTGGTAGTTGGACTCTGTGTTGGCCTCGTAGGAGCCGCTGCTCTGCTGTCCGTAGCCGGCTGGAGCATCGTTCTCCTCCTCCTCCAGGTAGGACATGTCCACGGGATAGGCAATGCCCACAACCGGCACGGGCATCTTGTTAAACTCTGATGTCTGGTGCGCCCCATCAGCCATGGCATCGTGGTAGCCATTGGCGGGCATCGTGTGATCCTCAAACACCGCCGAGGTGTCCTCCCCGTACGCGGGAATCGCTGTGGGCGACTCCGCAGACTGGCTGGCAGCAGCGGAGGCATCCTGCTCATCGGACACCTTGTCGTAGGTGGCATCGTAGCTGACTGTGCTCGTGTAGCCGTAGTCCTGACCCTTATCCGCCTCCATGGCTTCGCTCTCCTGGTAGTAGCTGGCTGGCGGTGGCTGTGCGGTGATTGCCTCGGCTGTAGCCTCGCTCTGGGCCTGGCCTGGATAGTCGCCATACGAGGGCGTCTGCTGGCTGACCACATTGTAGCTGGGTCCATGGCTTGTGTTGTTCAGCTGCAGGATGATCGACTCGATAGAGTCCACGTGTGTGGTGATCGAGGAAACGGTGGTGCCCTGACTTTGAGTCTGACCTGCTGCCGCTGGCCGCTTGGAGATGTAACTCTGCTCCTCCAGCTGCTGTTGTTGCTGCTGTTGCTGATGTTGCTGCTGCTGTTGCTGATGTTGCTGCTGCTGATGTAGCTGTTGCTGATGTTGCTGCTGCTGTTGCTGATGTTGCTGCTGCTGATGTTGCTGTTGCTGATGTTGCTGTGGCTGATGTTGCTGGGGTGGGTCTGCGTATACAGGCTGTGGTCCGTAGCCGGTGGAGAACTGAAGATCCTCGACAAGATCGGCATCAGCTCCCGGATGGGTGATATCGCTGTGTGTAAACTCTCCGCCATCCAGGATCAAATGATTGTGGTGGTGCGCATTCGCAGGCTTCGGATTTGGCTTTGATTGAGGTTTCGCTGTCTGCTGGTGATGTTGCTGCTGCTGCTGCTGCTGTTGTTCCTGGAGATGTTGCTGCTGCTGTTGTTGCTGCTGTTGTTGCTGCTGCTGCTGTAGTTGCTGCTGTTGCTGGTGATGTAGCTGCTGTTGCTGCTGCTGTTGTTCCTGGTGATGTTGCTGCAGCTGCTGCTGCTGTTGTTGCTGTTGTTGCTGCTGTTGCAGCAGCTGCTGAATGGGTCGCTTCATCGTCTCCGCCAATTGCGGCACAGGTTTCGGCCTGGGCTTCTCTGTGGGCTTCTTTATGGCTGGCGGCGTAGATGGGGTTTCCTCGAAGGAGTTGGACTCGGAGCTGGTCTGCTCCTGCAGGCCGCTGGCAATCTTCATGGGCACCTCCGTCGTGAAGAAGATGCGATGATCGTCGGCATGCTCGGGGGGCAATGTGCTGAGCACCTGCATCACAAAATCATCGTTTTGGGGTGGCGAAGAGGGCGAGTTGATGGTCACCGAGTGCTTGTGCACATGAACATTGGGCGGCAGAATGGGTTGCTGTTGCTCTTGCTGTAGCTGCTGCACCTTCTGGGAATTCATAGCGGTCGAGATAATCTCATCGTTGGCTGGCGACTGTTGAGCAGTTGGCTCCTGCTCAAACTCTACGCTAGAGGAAGATGATTGCGACAGAGTGGATCCCTCTGTGGAGGTGCTGCTGCCATAGACAAGCTCGTTCTGGGGATGCTCCGGCTCTGGCTCTGGGTCCTGCTGCAGCTCCACGCTGTAGCTATTGCTGGGTGGGCTGCTGGGGCTGGTGCTGCTCGGACTGGTGCTGCTGCTGCTGCTGCTGCTGCCCAACTGCTGATAGACCTTGTTGAGGTTCTGTTCATCGTAGATATTCTGAGAGGGCTGCGTGGCCGTTTGCTCTGCGCTATTCAGCGACTGCTGGTGCTGCTCGTAGGAGGACTCTGCCGCCTGCTGCAACTTCTGGTGCTGCTGCTGCTGCTGCTGGTGTTGGTGCTGCTGGAAGTAGGCGTTCTGCGCCTCATTGATCAGCGTGCTGGCCAGCTCGTGTGTGGCTGGAATCTGGCAGCAAGCGCCAAACAGGAAGCCGTCCATGCAGGCACCCACCACCTCGCCGCCCCGCTGGGCGCACTCGTGATTGAACATGCAGATGGTGGGGCCATTCGATCGGGGATCCGAGCTGGGCAGCGTCTTTGTGGCACGACAGTGCTTGGGTGTGATGCGGTAGCCACCAAACAGCTTTCGTCCAGCTGCAAAGAGACAAAAGTTGCAAAGGATCAGCAAAAAGGGTAACCAGAAATAAAGAGAAATTGTATTAAGGTAGGTTTCCATTCGTGTGTTCTGTTATTCGAAAGTTGCTGACAATTTGCATCCCGATTTTTGCATTGCCAAATATCTGTAATCCCCCGTGGCCAGAGTTTAATTAAGATGCCACTCAGCCACAGCTCAGTTCAGGTGTCTCTTTCTCTTTCTCTCTGCTGGCTACTCAACTGTACTTGATTGGATTATAATAGCTGGCGGTCATAGTGAAAATGATGGGCATGTGTATTTTTCCGCAATGAAAGTGACAATCTTAAGCATTTCCTATTGGCTTGTGGTATGCATGTATAGAAATTTCTAGCTATAACTGCTTCTGTCAGTGCCAATTATGACAAACAGCAGCCTCGGGCAGCAAACAAAAAAAAAACAACGAATAAACTCTGCGAGCATTAAGAGCGACAGCATTTTCCCTGTTCTGTGGGCAACCTGAAAGCCAGCAATCAGCTACCAGTAACCACATGGAACGATGCAAGAGCCAAGTGAAAGTGGCTTCAGTCCAGGCACCGAGTTACGAGTGCCGAGTGCCGAGTACTAACTGGCAACCAAACCGCGAGTGCCAGCCCAGCCACTTGCCAGTCAAAGTTCAGCCCCATGGCCCAGGTGTGGGCCGGTGCAATGCACTTCAAAGTTTTTCCAGCTCATTTGGCAAAACTGGAGAGTGAAGGAGTGTCAAATACTCTCTATTGGGTTTGTCTGATATGCATTTCAGCAGAAAGTAAAGGGTGTTTGCTCTAGTTGGCTATGTGCTCGGCCTCTTGACATTTGGGCCGAAATTGATTTTCGACAGCAATTAAACCAGCAGCTAAAAAGCAACCAAACAGCCGTACACTTGTGACGGACCGGCTTATGCTGACAAATTAACACCTCGCAGACGCTCCAGTTGCGGCTGTTGTGGCCCCAATCCGCTCCGCGGACTGTGTCAATGCTTGGTCGTAAAACTGGAGCAAAGTCCTCAAAGCAAACGCACACAAGTAGCGGGATAGTTGGCATCAATTAGTTCCGTGCTAATTCTAAGAAAATCAGCAGGTAACGAAAATGAAATCACAGGAAGCTGCTGCTGCTGCTGCTACGACTCACTATTCCGATGTTGAAGCCAGCTTGAGCTCGGCATGAGTCAAACCCCGCATATGCTGGGCACGTCGCACCGAATTCGAGTGAAAGTAAAGACAAGTGTACGAGCGTATTAGGCAAAAAGTAGTGCAAAAAAATCTCCATTAGAATAACAGTCCAAATATATGCATGTACATAATTGAGAAAAAAGTGATAGTGTTTTTGTTTCTGTTGCTGTTCCGTTTCTTTTTTTGGGCTTTTTATTTTGTTTTCTCTCTTATTCTCTTTCTGTTTATTCATCTCTGAAAACGATTTCGTTTTTGTGCGTTTTTCTTGTCCAGCGCGCGCGTCTCGGCGTCTACTAATAAAATAATAATCATCTTTCTTGCAGCTTTATTATTTGCAGACATTTCGCATTTTTTTATGATTATACACTCAAGTGCTCTTAAGTATTCTTCCGCAAATCGTTAAAACCGAGAGACACAAAGGCTAGGCAGAAGAGAAGAGACGTGGGAAACAGCCACAGGCCACAACAAAAGCTCAGCCCACCAGCACCGCATAGACAATATTAACAGAGATCTGTAGCTTAACAGAGACATTGCTAGCAGCGCGCGAGAGAGAGAGAGCGCGTGCGACATGAGAGAGCCACCACCGTTAGAGCTAACAGAGACGCAGAGCCGCAAAGCAGCGGACTTAATTATAGATTTGATTTAATGAAGGATGAATGGATGTGAACACGGCCACTATAAAACAGTCATAATTATGCAGTTTACCATAATTTAATTTTTGTAACTGAAACAAATTGAATATGTACACGCAGAGAAAATGCACTGAAGATGTAACATTTAAGCTGAGTTTTAAAGTGTAAACAGAAAGTGTGTTCTTTTTGTGGGTTCCCTTTTCTCTGAGTGTATAGATGAGTAGTTACCTAAACAGGAATAAAAGGAAGAATGTTGGGGAAACAATAACGTGAGACATGTTCAACAAACACTTGAAATCAAACGCAAATAATGTTAATGGGAACCCGGGCACGATACCCGAAAAACTCTAGAAGGCGAGAAGACACTCTGGATCAGGATTGTACGTGCCATCCGGTACTCAGATGCTACTTAACATACTTAACATGCTAAGCGATCCTTGGAAGGATGCCCCTGGGCCTAATTAGTGGGTAAAGAATGATTGACAGCATCGTAATAATAGCGCGCGATGCATGCTAAATAGGTTACAGCATCGCTGCCTCGTCTGCCACACCTGAGAGTCGAATACATAAAGCCGGCTAACACGCACACACACACAGACAGCAGCAGGGGGAACGAAAGTGTGTCAAACGCCTGAAAAATTTTGCGTCGCTTTTAAACATTTTTTCGGTGCTTAAAAGCGAATGAAGGAAGCAGCTGCAAAATGAGATAACAAGTTTGTCTTCCCATCGGGAAGCAAGCAAAGAGAAGAGAAGTCCCATCTTGGTGGTGGCAATATCATTAATCATGCAAGGAAATTGGCTCAATAGCCGAAATTTTGTTGCGTGCAACAGGTGAGCAAGAGACACTTGCTCAGTGTGTCACCGGGTGCCCTGGGGCCAGTGGATGCTCCTCATTTGGCCAACGGAACAGTGCGTCGGTTCGTTCCCTGCTTGGACTGCACTGCAAAATGTAAATTAATTAAATCATGAATATGCTGCTGCACACCGTAGACAAGGCGAGAGAACGGAACGGATGGGAAGGGAAGGGAAGGGAAGGAAAGAGAAGACTGAAACCAAAACGAAGAAACGAGAGCTCCGATTCGATGCGAAGCGAAGCGGTCCGATCCGATCGGTTCCGATCTGCTCTGAGATTTCGTAGAACTTGTTTTCTGGCCGAGGCATTCGACATGCCGAGCCGAGGCACTTCAAGAATGTAAACGAACGAGGCGCTTCAACGGTAAAATGGAAAATTATTATCGATCAATTAGCCCAAGACTGCAAAAATAACACACACACACTCACAATAAAAAGAAGTAAAGTAAAGAAAAAACAGAACAGAGAAGAAAACTTTCGTACCGCAGTAAACATGCAACACCACGTGGTGTTGTTGTTGTTGTTGTTGTGTATCGACATCGACTGAGACCTGATCTTGGGCAGTTTTGCATTTAACATATGAATCTTGCTCTAATTGCGTTGTGAAAGTGTTAAATATTCCCGGGGGCAAGTTTACACGAATTATTAACCGATTCAGGATCGTGGCACAGAACTGGGTCAAGTGAAATCGAACAGTTCGATGCTGGAAATCAATGTTTAGCATTAAAATTCCTACACAGTGCGAGTAAACCACAAGTAGAAGAGTCATTTTCCCATCCAATAATTCACCAGAGAAACTTAGTGGCCACTCTAACGACTTATTGACTATTGGAATGTGCCATCTTAATGGCCAACGAAAGGTTGGAAAGAGGAAAAATATAACCAAATGTCACTTTTCATGGAATTAGCATAAAACATCTCTCAGGCTGAATGGACAGGCTAATTTCACTTTTCTTAGACAAAGGCCAAAGAAAAACTGTTTACATTTCATGAATCGCTTGATTTAGGCTACTAATTATCTTCGGATCGGTAGTGTCTCAGGCCCCAAAGCCACATTCAGCTATGGCAAGAGCTGCAGATTTGTTTTTTGTTGTTGTATTTTTTGCTGTTGTTTTATGATGCTTTTTGTTATATTTTTATTAAATTTAATGGCCTTTACGTGCGGATATTGTTCGTCTGTCTGTGCGTTAGTGTGGATCTTTCTCATGGTCATTTTGCGGTGTCATCAGGCAAGAAGTTTTCCCATTTCGCGTGAGAGAAATGGAAAGTTTCTCGCTCTTGGCTGACCTTTGTGGGCATACATTTTTGGGCGTACAATTTAACTAAACTTGTGCCGTTTTGATGCATCCGATGTGGCGCTGGCACTCCACTCTACATGACAGCTGATCCGCAGCAAAACATTTCTATTAATCACATTGTAATTGAATTGTTGAACAACAACAGCAGCAGCTGCAGCACACGGCATATCATCAGCATAAACATAACCCGCTCCATGCTCTACTAGTCTCTCTGCGAATTGGACTGTGGCATGCGCTATATAACCAACTCTAGCTCCAACTATAAGCGATTTGCACGCGAGCTTGCTGCCCCACCTTGAATTACAATTACATAAAAATTGATTTGAAAGTCGCAAACTGCTGGACACCAAGAACAGCATTACCCAGTGCCTAGTGCCCAGTGCCCAGTGCCCAGTCCCCAGATGTACGTCTACAGTTTCTGCTCTGATCTGCTGCAACTTGTGGGTCGCTGGCATCGGGTGTCGCTCCACAATTTGGCACACCGTCTCGGGCACAGCCTCCCAGCATGAGCGACCCGTTCCCCCCACCAACTTGGTCAGCGCAGCTACACCTGGCTTCCCGTCCCCGACCATCGGTGTAAATTGTAACAGTGACCCAAATAAAATGCGGCAACGACGACAGTGACTGCTGCGCCCGAAAAGACCGGTAAGTTAACAGTGAATGGTGCAAGCGCCCCGAGAGCAGCGTGTCTGCAGTTATGTACACTCGTACATATATACATATGTATATACTCCCATATGTAGTGCAGATTTACAAGAATGCAGGGGCGAGATTCTACGCATTCATTTCTAATAGCTACTACCCTTATCTACCTGGGTATGAGGGATGAGCAAAATATAAAACTTATAAAAGGAATTCTTCATTGAAACAAAGCAACATAAAGTCATTGGCAAGTTCTAATTTAATGTTTACGTTGCGTTAATTGATGGAATCTTAAACTCCACTTTGTTGTATTTTGTGTTCGAATGCGGTTTGGTGCTCGTACATCAAGCAAATCATTTTGTTTGTGGTTTAGCTCTACGCAGCAGCAATCATCGAGTGCGGATATTGTCAGGTCAGTTATGCAAAGAAAATATGTACTTCCATTTCTCACGTGAGCATCTCTATGACTTGCGGTAATAGGAACGATAATCACAGAGTCTCGGCCAGCAACAGGTTGTTTGGGCTGTCTTCTGGCATTAGGAAAGAACAGGGAGCCCCACTCTTACGACGGGCTTTGGGATACATAAAACTTGTACAATGTTTGGATGTCGCTCCGAGGCAGTTTCATTTGTTGGCACCGTCTCTGTAGTCTCCACTGTCTGCTGTTATGCACAAAACGACTTCGTTTTGTTTTGTTTTCATTACAATTATTATTATTATTATTATTCTTCCGTGGTCACTTTTTGCCAGATCATGCTCTAGGCTCTGGGCACGGATTTCCGCTGGCAGACAGACAATAATGCAACAATGCAGCAAAGGGAAAGGGGCAAAAGGGAAATAAAATTGAATCTATGGAAAATGCATCACAGTATGAAATCTATTGGGCGCCCCCATTCGATTGAGATGATAAATCAAATTAGGTGCCCATAAAATGGAAACGTTTTGGCAACCAATTTCTTGAATATATCCCATCAAATGCGACGAGAGGGAAATATAAATAAAAAGTCGGTGTGAATGAGCAGTGAAAGTTGCGCTTGGCCGCAATAAGTGACATCATTTTTTGGCATTCCAATCGATAGCCAAACCAGTGAGAATGAAGAGCAGCAGGCCTGGGAAAATCCCTGCAGAACCGCAATGACAAAAATCGTACAGTAAATGTAAAAATGTAAACCCAAACCCAAAGAATTTGTGCTGTCATGCGGCGGAAGCACACAGCAGAGAGGCCTTCGGAATCGTCTGTGGAGCGCAGTGAGAAGAAGCCCACAGAGAATTTCACTTTCACCGCCAAACATGTCAAAACAAAATTCAAAGTCTACCGTGTATTTCCTGTTAGACAACGCATCCATAACACACCACTCGAAGTTGTCTGTCTGCCTGTCTGTCCGTCCGCTGTGTGTCTCTGCTAACAGAGCCGATAATTTGTAACTGCGCTGTGTCGATGGGAGTGTAAAGCGAGCAAACCAAACGGTGGCACAGCATCATCGGCAATCGCGACTCGGCAATAATACGAGTACGAGTGCGAGGGGAGTACGAGGCACTTGAAACAATGCTGATGAGCTTAAAAGATAAACCAGAAGACAACAAATGAGTGTCTGCGTGTTGGAGCCTCTGTCTCTGTCTGTGGTACCTCTATTTCCACTTTTGTATTTCCACTTCTGTTTCTGTTTCTGTTTCTGTTTTGTTCACATGCACTAATAGTTTCATCGGGGGCTGGGACTGGCACTGGGTCTGGCTCTGGCTCTGGCCATGTGATTGCTACTGCGGCTGCGGGGTGTAGGAAGTGCAATCCATATGTAAGGTGAAATGCTCTCTTGCCACTCGATGCGGTGCTCGTGATCTGTGATCTGTCACAGTTTTAATGCGATTGTCTTAACTTTTATGATGTGTAAAATGGCTGTGGGAAAATCATTTGCACAGCGATGGGGGCAACAATTCAGGGACAGGGACAGGGACAGCGACAGCGACGGACCCCCTCGAAAGCACAGAAGAAAGTCCAAATGTCGCTTTCACATTAATTGCATGTAGAAGAGGGAGGGACAGTGAGAGAGAGAGAGAGAGAGGGAGCTGTGGAATTATGGAATTCATAATTTGCATAAACTCAGAATTCCTGTGGGTGTTTTTATATGAACGAAGAGTTCAGAGATTTCGCCATCTAAAGCTCTTCGTATGTGGAACAGAAATTGGTCAAGTCGATGATCGGACAGCGGTAAAAACGTGCTCCTGAAATTATCTGACTGGCTAGCCGAGCGCTGTCCATCGCACATATTACACTGGCTGACTGAATGCTGCCCGCAGCCTCCAGAGCAGAGCAACCGCAACTGCCACTGCAACTGCAACATCAAGTCTTTCATTCACAACAGCTTCCTGCCCCCAGGCCTGTTCGCTTCGGTTTGGGCCGTTGCCGATGCCGATGCCGATGCCGATCCGGTCCGGGCCAGGCCAAGTCTCAAACTACCGCAAAGTCAACTGCAGGCCGACAAGTGCTGCAGAAACCACAGCAACAGCCACAAACTGGCACACGCTTCAATCAGAATCTGTGACTGTTGCTGCGGCTTTGGCTGCTGGCTGCTTGCTGCTGGCCAAGACATTTTCATTTCATTTCTTTTATCGATCGAACTGCTTTTCAGTCTTTGCTTCCAAATAGAAATTGAAAATTGTTTTGCGATTGTTTTACACCGTGCGATCTGCTCGATGCATCTGTAACTGTGTGTGGATGACTCCGATGATTGCCATTCGCCTCACTTCCACACTTCCTCACCAAACTGACGCAGCAGAGTTCTTTGTTGTGGCAAACGGAAGCATTGATTTTCTTTTCTAGGCAAAAAAGATGCATTCAGAAATCAAATATGTACAGTCACTGATTGGATAATGCTTGGATCATTCTATACTAAAAAGTTGTTCCCAGGTCCATGGAAGGTACCAAGCTGAGAGTAAAGTCGGGAATTTACTAAAGGAATAAACGGAATTTAAAATATTTCTTTAACTACTTTCAGAAACAGATATTCAGGCCAATCGTCAGATTACATATCAGTATTTCTATAACCATTACTTCTTTGCCTTTCATCTGTTCTGTTTAAAGGGTTTGCCAAGTGATAAAAGTTTCATTGGATGGCATTATGATTGTTTATTGTTATGATTTCACCTCATAAAGCTTATCTTTTGTTCTCATTTCTAATGTACAAGAAATGGTAATGATGTGTGAAATTTTACTTGTAAGAGCAGCAGCATGCTCACAGATTTGATTTGATTCCACAGCACTGCTTCTTATTGGGACAATACGATTTTTTATTTGCTGCCATGTCTGTGGAGTGTTTTTACTTGAGCTCAATCCACTCAAACTGATTGGGCTGGGTCTGTGCCAGTGCCTTCGATTTAAGCTAATAGCCCTGACACTCTAGAAAATTTGTTTCACTTTTTAAATCGACAAAATGACTTGAGCAATTAACACGAAGAGCAGCTGAAGAGCTGCTGAAGAGCAGCTGAAGAGCAGCGCGCTCAAAAAGCAAACACACTAAAAACTGTCATAAGGAAAGTCGATGTCTATGGCTGTGCCTCTCTCTGTATGAATGAGCAGAGTGCGGTGCGGTGCGGTGCGGTGCGGTGTGTTGTGGGGCTCATCTGTAGGTCTTTTGTGTGTCTGTTGGTTGGGTCTGCTTTGTGGCCGTAATGTAGCATAAAACGAACCAAATAATTGCGGAACCAAGTGCGTGGAGTGTGGAAAGCCATTCGAAAGAGCAAAACAGTTTTCTGTGCCAAAGTTTTTCTGATTCATTTATTGGCACAAAGGCATAGTTTATGCTGTGCTGTGCTGTGCTGTGCATTGTCAACTCGACCAGGCCGGGGCCAGACCGGGGCCAGGCTTTCACTCAATGGAGTGATGTGGAAGCCACTGACACGATTCGATTTGTCAGCGGTAGAGGCAGTCACAGCCACAGCCACACACAACGACATGAGCTTGCTATTTGGCCAAATTGATTTTCTTTTGCCATAATTCTACATTTTTATTGTGTGTTAAACTTTCTTTCAATGCGATTAGATTCCATTCAATAAATCAAATTGTCTGCCACTTACCGCCGTTCGTTTCAATTGATCTAAATCCACTTGTTGTCGGCACAAATGATGCGGCTATTATTATTAAACTTGTTAAAGCGATGGAAAGTAGTTGTGGTTTTGTTGTTCTTGCAGTTGTGCTTGACGCTGACGCTGTTCTGGTTGTCGCTGCCGTTGTTGCTGTTGTTGTGCGGGACAATGTCGCCGCTGTGGCCGGCGTAACCCACTTAAACATGTTTGTTGGTGGCTCGCTGGCGCGCTAGCTGGCTGGACACTGGCTGCTCGGGGAGTTCTGGCCTAGAACGCTTCTGGCTTATTATATGTACTATTCGCTTGGATTATTTCGAAATGGGAGTGCGAAAACACACACACTAACACACACAATTGTGTCGTAACAGCGCGCCCTCAATGAACCGCTAAGCTAAACAAACGACTTGGGCAACGAACGCGTTCTCCGCACCGAACCGATTCGCGAATCGAGAACTTTTCGATTATTATGCATATGTTTTGGACGCACTTTGTTTGAATAAAGCTTTCGGTCGGACTTCGCGAATTTACAGTTGCTCGAGCACACACAACACGACTCTATATAGTATAGTCTCTTCTTTACGGGGGGGAATCTCTTTCACAGCAGTTTCTCGACCATGGCCAGCCGTGTGCGTCCGGTCAACTGAACGCTCCGCGTGTGTCTGATTGGGAGTTAGTGGGGCCGTAGTCGAGCAGCGGCCAAGATAACGGACCTTCGCCACTTTTGTGTAGAAAACTTTCACTTTAACTCAGCCGCAGAGCAGAGCAGGAAGAGAAAGAGCGAGAGAGCGAGCGAGCGAACGATCGCAAGAGACTGAAACTGAGAGAGCGACGCGTACGTGAGAGTATTTCTATTAAGCGACGCTTAAATGGTAAACATTTCTAATTCGGCGTCTGCTTATTTAGCTGCTGCTGCTTTTGCTACCGATTCCTGTTTTCATCGCTTGCTTTCTTTCTTTCTTTGCCAAGGCTGGCAGGCAGGTCTCTCTCTCTCTCGTCTGCACGCGTGCGCGTTTCGAACTCAACTGAAACGGTTTACAGCGCGGCCTTGCGGTTAAGAGCGCTCCGCTAACAGAGCGCTAACAGTGTCGCTCGCTGTTATCGCACCTCTGAAGATGCCCACAGAGCTTTCGCCTAACTGATGTTTGATTTGTGATTTGTGATACTGCGAATACTACTGACAGGGCAGAGCAGGGTTATCGGCCCCCGATATGAGCCTGGGCCGGCACTGGAGCCTGCCAATTAGCGCTTCACAAAATGACAGGCAAAGAGTTAAGTGCTAATAACGGTGATCTGGCCATGTGCCAACCAGCCAGGAGGTCCAACCTGTCGTTTGGCATTTCCTTGACCCAAATTTCACTCGAAGCGGCCTTTGTCAACACATGTACTCGCGTACCACATGCACCACAGCTGGAAAATCCGGCGCTGCTCGTGGCTGGGCCTGGCTGCGGCTATGGCTATGGCTAGGCCGGGGCATATTATAATGGTCGTTGGTGCGACGCTCGGCCAAAAGGCTGGCACTTGGCTGGCCAAGCGTGGACTCGGCTCCAACATCACGATCATTTTTTGTCTCTCTGTAGAATTTCACTTTCGTTATTGTTGTCGCTCTTGGCAGTTTTTTTAACGTTTTTTTCTGTACGCTGTACGTTTTTTTTCGGTTTATTTTATGTTCAGCTTTTATTTATTTTCTTGTGGTCAAGCCCATTGAAATGGAAAACGTTTCGAGAGCGCCACAATCCGGCATGCCGGGCACGTGGGCGCGGGTGGCTTGGCCAGAACCAGCTGGGGGCAGCATGCGATGGCTTTCTCATGGGCAGAAGAGAATGTCTCTTGGGCCATGATTAATTCAAATGAATATTATGCCACTCTCTGGCGCTCTCGGAACTCACGAATGCTGTGTATTATGAACGATTTTAAATGAGTTTAGCATAATCAACGGTATGATATCTAAGACAAAGACACACCAAAGCGAAGAAGACCATCGTCCAACACTTTCACTCCACCCGGAGCAGGCAAGACCCAAACCCAGACCCAGACCCAGACCGAGTACCAGTCGCTGTCCTAGCCCCATCTACAGACAATAAAACTCGCAGAAGAAGGTGCCAAAACAAAGAATAACAAAGACCCGAGGGCCGAACTTTAAACAAACGCCAAGAGCTGTGCAAACGATCCGCGCAAAATGATGAAATATTCAATAGCCATGGGGGGTTATATAACTACATAAAGCCGCCACAATCCAGGGCGTCTAACCATGCCAAAGAAAATCCAATCAATAAAAACTTCTTCCACCCAATTGCTTTGGCACTTGATTTCGATTTTGCCCATCTTCCGACGATTAGCCATTAAAATATCTATCAGCAGGGGGCGGGCTCTGGTCGCTGAGCCAATCGATCGCACTGATCGGCCAGCGAGCGATCGACAAGTGTGAGAAATCGAATTCCCACGAGCAGCGATCAGAGCACCAAAAAAAGTGAAGGCTCCATCTGCGGGGTGGCCTAGGGCCAGAGCCAAAACGCTTGTCAACGCCTTCCGTATTGCCAATTTGCTGTTGGGCTACAGCTTATTAACTGCCATTAATTTGTTTTCAGCGCCGGCGATTGAAAGCGAAAGCCATCAAGTCTATAAAGGCGGCCTGTTGTGAGCTGCTCAATGGTCAATGGGGGTTGGGTCTTCAGTCTTCAGTGTTCAGTGTTCAGTCTTCAGCTGCCAGCCTCCGGTCTGTCTGCGATCGTTGCTGGATTAAGACCTAATTAATCAAAATGAGGCGTCGACCCGAATCGATGATTTATTGTGCCGCAAATTGAGCACAGCACATGACCCTTTGACAGGGCCCAATCATTGGTTGGGGCTGGGTGCTGAAGGTACTTTCCATTTTTGGGCCCCTCAGCGGCGGATGTTGCACTGATCGTTCGCTATTTGGGGATCTGTGACTAATTGAAAAGGCAATAATTTCACTTTTAGCAAGTCGTCGGCCATGTTTGCCCACTAGCAACCGACGACAAGACCCACCGACGAGCAAAGAAAAGAAATTTCAGCATAACAAATGAAAGTGAGTCGCGGTGGCAAACAGCAGCAAGTACAAATGACACACACACACACATATGACAAGTTAACAAGCAGCAGGAGTTGCAGAGGAGAATAGTTGTCCAAAAGTTTTGTACCCCCGGTAAGTGTTCAACAAATCACGCATACGCCACCGTCAGCTGCCGAATGACAACTTGCGCTTTCAATTAGCTCGTGTCAATGGCCCCCGCCACAAGGGCCGTCTCCTCCTAGGCAAGCCCATGGTACACCTATGATTTAATTTCGGTTTCTTTTCGCACACTTTTAATTACGCAAATGTTATTCAATAAAGTCGCAGACAAGTCCGCGATTAGAGAAATGGGCGAAACTCTTTTTTGGCATGTTTGCTTTTGGTTTATGTTTGCCGGTCAGCAGAAGTGTCTTAGCTATGACAAGGCGCTTGCTTCTGTGACACTGAACAAGACTTCCGCAATGTTAGAAGTTCGCAGTCAAGTGCAAAACTGAAACAGCAGCAATATAGTTCTGGCATCTTCCACCAATCGAAAGAGCATTCGGGAAGCGGCTATGGAAAACCTTTCGCCTTTTGGCATTTCTTTGGCGTTGGCTTTGTTGGTGGTCGATGGCCGATGGCCAGCCTGTGCCGCCGGCTAATTGCACTATTATTTCACTTTGATGCCATTTTAAATGAATTCCATTTGCGCAACGACTTTCGTCTTCATTAGGTGGGGTTTTTGTGGCGCCTCTTCATTGTTTGTTTGGCCGCTCTCCAACAAAGTTTTGCACCTTTCACAGAATCTGCTCATTGCGATATTGCCGCCTGACTTCCGTCATCGTTTGTTTAGTTTTATTTGATTTTCTTTTATTTACTTTTCATATTCATTTGGTATTTATTTGGCTGGCAATCAAAATCTGATTGTGGTGCGTCCGTATAATTGGCGAAAATTAAAAAGGGAAAACGGTCTTGCATCGAAAACACTTTATGTAGGCGTCGCCCCGCGGCTAATGCAATTAATTAGAAAGCGAAACTAAAAAATTCATTTAGAAGATGGAAGCTGCGCAGCGAAGGCGGAAAATTCATCTTTTTTTGATGTTTCTTGATAAATGTTGGCCTGCAAATTAAAATATGACTTCTCTCTTTTTTCTCTCAATCCACAAACGCCTTCCCTTTTTGGTTTGTTGTGTTTGTGGCGGTGCTTGCGAATGAAGTCCGACAATGGCCAAGGGCCATTGGAAAGGGACTGAGCTGACTTGGACTGCCAGAGAGGGAAAGGGAGAATGGAAGAAGTTCAATTGTAGGTTCAAGTTTGGGCCAGCAGATCATCAGCAGACACTGAAACACCATTTTGACGCCCATATCGTCAGTTCTATGAGAGATTAAGGAAAGTCGGCAGGGAGCAATTTGGGACCGGGAGCCGTCTGAAGACGCTGGTTACATCCGAGGAAAAAAAACCATTGAAGCGCCAAAGAGAACAACTGTCTATCGATCGATCTATCAAGAGTTGAAGCCGACCCAAAACCAATAATTACCGGATGAGGAGTCATTTCCTAAGGGGTTACGTTTCAAATGGTCTCGCACAGTCTCCATCAAATTAATGATCATCCCGCGAAGAGTTTTGTTTTTGTTTGTAGTGCGATTCCATGGGGCGATATCGAGCGAGGTGAGAGGGTTGAGCGCGTTGTGGCTGTGTCTTCTGGGAGCCAAAGTTTTCTTGGGCTGCCAGAACGGTGGCCCCACTCACCCACCCTCCTCCAGACCATTAACGAGAGGGAAAACACTGTCCAAAAGTACTTTTCAATTGTTTCCATAGATTTTGGTGTATTTGGTGAAAGATTTTTATGATCATTGTGGCCGCTGCTGATCTTGGTCAGCACTTGGACTTTCGTTTTTTGTTTGCTTCTCAAGTGGCTTGCTGGCTGCCGCGTCTATAAATCTTTTAGGCAGAAAAATAAGAAATTTCCATTGTAGCCATCGTTGGGAAAGTCTCAAAATCGTCATTGTGCATTCGGCACAGGTAGTGGACAGTGGACATTGGACATTGGACAGTGGACGGTGGTGGTTGGTGGTCATCTCTCATGCCCCCCTGCTGTTCTCTGACTGACACCCGCCCCCTCAATCACTGTGTGTGCGGCTTTTGATGATGCTTCAAGCGTTTTAATTGTGCAACGTTTCTATAGAAATTAAGTGCAAGACTTCACATCAACGGGTACCCAGACGAGGGTGCTGGACAGCCGTTACTTCATCGCTTTCGTTTTCCATGGGAATGCTCTGGATTTGGCTGGCCCCATGGGCCACAATATCGCATATCATTTGGCAAATGTCTAATGTGTCAGTCCATCAAAATTTCACTTATGTTTTTGGTAGGCAGGCGTTGGCGTCTTGCATCGAGCATAAATCGGTGCCCAATCCAATTGTCAAACTAAATCAAGCCTGCCCCAAAAGCAGACCAAGTCGCGCCACAAATTTGCACTTTCACTCGAGTGGGGCATATTTATGGCTTACAAGTCAATTAACTTCAGTTAGCTAATCGCTGCAGAGGATGTCTGACCATCGCCTGACAAGTCCCCTAATCTCGCAGCCCATTACGAGCACGAATCGCATGTGAAAGTTCATGCAACATACAAGATATTATTCACAAAAGTGACTTAGGACCGAGCGAGTGGTCGTGCCGATGATAATCTCAACGCATGACCCCTTCGTGGTACGCGAGGTCTGTGCAAATTATAATAAACACTCGTACGCCTGCCCCAAGAGATCCACCCAGCATGCACTTGCAACCCCACCAACTTTGTGTGTAGGAGGGCTGTCGCGGTGGTTGGAGGGGGTCGTCAGTTGCCGTGGCATGTCACATGCAAATGACCCACAACTGAGAGCGAAAGTTCCACGACAAAAGTCGGTAATTGCAGGGCACGATCCAAGGCAAATGCGTGCCAACATACGTTTAGGGATCAGGGATCACG